TCATGCTGCTGGTTGTAACTCAAAATTGCTTAAACTATTTCTTTATCTTTGCATCTTTTCAGTGTCTTTAAAGAGTTCGCAAACCTTTTTTCATATTCCCAAGTACAAAGAGGAGCAGAGCATGAAACATGAATTTAGTGAAAACATTTTTGTGGAGAGCTTCTGGGCAAATGAGCTTCGTTTAAGCAGGAGCTGTGATGTGCATTGCACAGCTCAGCCCAAGGAAAAGTGGTTGTTGAGAGTACTTTGTGTTTTCTTGGCTGGCGTTAGGTCTGTCTTAGTAGGACACAGAAGACTTCATAAATCAAGTATATTTAATGAGGAATGCTGTGTGTGCATGCATGTTGTGTCTAAAAATAGTGTTCTTTGAACAGGATTCAATTTTGACTTTGCCTGCTATGCTTTTAACATGAAGCAGAACCCCATGTGGAAAAACTAATGTCATTTTATTGGCCAGCTAAAATTCCCTCTGCTTGGCACTGCTTCTTTTCAACTCCAAGTACTTCTAGTTAGTCAGCAGCAGGATATGTAAATTCATCCTGGGCATTAGGAAATAAAGAGCAGATGCTGTAGAAAATGGGTTTTTTTAATAGTGTTTTTTTTTCCTTTAAAGCTGCTTTTTTTCTATTAAATTGAACTTTGCTTAGTTTTCCAACTTACTTTACTAATTATTTCCACTTACCTCTCCTTCATTCTAAGCTTAAAAGAAAAAAACGTGGAGTTTATTTTTTAAACCTGATACCTGATATTACCTGTCTTTGCTCCAGTGGAATCCTTTTGTATTTCTAGCAGAAGAATAGCAGAAGAATTTGGCATTGAATAAGATAGTAGAGTCATGATCTGGTAGCACTTCTGTCAAGTAAATGCAACAAAGTCTCTTCTGCTAACGAAGAGTGCCTGCACCGTTACATAGACACTTCATTCTGAGCAGTTCAGACCAGTAGTAAGTTTAAGGGAAGTGTGCACTTGTTTCCTTGTCTCTCTGCTGTGCTTGCTTTAAATTGGTCACCGTGAATCATACTAACAGTAAAAGTGAGGTCGAAGCCTGAATTTACATATGTACGTCTTTGTAGAGTGTATGAAGTGTATAATAAGTGCCAAACTGTTGTCTCTAGAAACTGAAATTCTTTTTCCACAGAACAGGAGCTACAAAAGTTAAAGCTCGTGCAAACTTTCTTATGCTGGGTAAGTGCTGAGATCTGCTGGCGTTTCTGCCCGTCTGTTAACCATCGCACAAAGCTAAGCTCTCAGTGTGGACAGCTGCCCGTGAGGGAGCCTGCTGGATGCCATCCCCTTGTTGTGCTCAAGTCATCACAGTAGTCAGTAGATGGTGGCTTACTAAATATCCTTGAGATAAATTCTAGACTTATTCTGAATCATTGCGGTCTTGAGGATTAGGGATGAATTCGGAAGTGAAACATGTCTAACAACATGTCTGCATTTCCTGTGAACCAAATGTCCAGTTTTAAGCTGGTTTTCCTACATCTGTCACCAGATATAATTTTTTGACTCCTCCGGTCTCATACGTTCAGCATAGGCAGACAAAATATTATCTACGTAGACAACCAGTACAAATAAATGCATTCTCCTTGTCCTCTCCCTTCAGTTTGTTCTGTTGATTGTTTGTGAGCACAGATTTCTCCAGCTAAGTTTTGGGTTTACTTATGGGCACAAAGCTGTTCTGAATGACAGAAACAAACTGTAACATGGGATCTGGAGATGGAGAAAGGAGGAGCATAATATTCTATAGCAAGCAGTTGTGGTGGCATCAGAAGCTTGAATTCCAGTCTCTGATGGGTTTGTTCTGCAGATTGCTCACCCGTTTTCAGCAGCAGCAGTGCTAGCACTGGACACATGCAAAGATGTCCGTAGTGCTATAGGCATTAGGGATCAAGTTCCCAGCAGGGTGTACAGACCAAAAAAGCACCTAGCACTTCTGAAGGGATTGTCTCAGGACTGGCTGAAATGGCACTATATGTGATAAGCAGTGGTGTAGGTATTGTGAGGTAGTTGTGTGAAAGCAAGGCCTTGTGCCAGTTTCAAATTAGTGAATAATGGAATTAGCCAGTCAAGCTTACTAATAGCGTGTGTACTGTGTACTGTGCTGCTCTGCTTTCACTAAAGTTCACTACTTTGTTGGCTGTGTTTGCCTGAGGCTTTCTGCCTTTGTCTGCCTTTCAGCTTGCACCGCGTTCACAGGAAGGTTTTGTATCGCAGCTTTTTATCAGTATTCAAATTCATCATAAATCACCCACTTTGTGTTTAATTCTCACTGCATTTGAGATGTGGCTTACACGCCATGTGTGACGTTTGTTTCTGTATAACTTACAAGTACCTTAAATTGAGGACGGCTCCCTGTCTAGCAATGCCAGCGCAGCAGATCCTCAGTCAGTGGGACTTTGCCTGGACTTCAGCTTGTGTGGTGGTTGGGATCCTGCAGCCTTTGCTGCGGAACGTTGAAATTCACAAATGCATTTTGGCAGCTTTAGGAAGGGGAAGTGAGTGCTGGATAAACTCCTCGAATCAAGCTGTACCAAAAAAAAAAAAAAAAAAGCCTTTTCTGTTTTTCTGAAGGGTATAAATTCTTACAGTAGGTGAAATGTTTTGCATGGTAAGACTGCTGCATACATTATGAAAAACGGGGTTAAACAAGGATGGCACATTCATGCATGCTGTTGTTTTATAAGGTAGCTGAACTTGTAGTTTGTTAATGAAACGGTGTTTGTCTCTTTGGGTGCTTTTTGGTGATGTATCCAAATAGATTGGTTACATGATAGAGGTAGAGTATACCTCAGGGAAATGAGAAATTTGCATGTAAGCAAACTTGCAGCAGCATCAGATTCTGTTTGGATTGCATTTTTGTTAATCAAAATATCAAAAGAAGTTTGGGGTTTTCTGATGAAATTTCAAGAGTGTGTTTGCATGCACTTATTAAATAAACTCACGGAGAGCTGTTAAGTGTGGAGATCCCATCTCTGGCTCCGGATTCCTAAGCTTTAAACAGCTGGATTCTCACAGCATTCTGGGCAAGCACACCCTGGGTATTTATTGTGTTCTTGTATTTATCCTTTTTGCCATCTGCTGCTGGTTACTGTTTAATACTAAGCAAGATGGACTTCTGGTTTGAGCTGTCCCTTTGTTCAGAGTATCCCTCCCTTTATGCTTAGATGTGTTTTTCCTATGTGGAGGAATACGAAGGCTGAATTAGCCACTCATATTTTCATCTGTCTCTCTTCAACTGTGGCCATGTAAGTAGATCCCTAATGACTGAAACATCAGGTAACAGAGAAAGGTAACTGCCTGATCTCCTGCAGTTGCACAGCTGGCTTTGCAAATCCCATCAACAGAATCTTGGAGAAGATCATTTGGTACATCTTCAGTGAAAGTCATTACTTAAATATCATGGGCATTATGCTTTAAATCCTGTTAGTGTTCCCAGTTCTTCACATGTCTGTTTGGCACTATCCTACATAAATAAGAGATTTATCTTGGTTAGTTATGTATCGTCCCAACATCTTTTCTCCTTGTCCGTGGGAGATTTGAGTAGGCTTGCCTAGAATTACTCTGAAATACTGGGTAGAACAGACCTACCATCTGTTTCCTAATTTTACAATGAATGTATCTCTATAATGAAAATCTGAATTTCTTATCAATTTTATAATGTAAAAATTTGGAGAAGAGCCTCCATTAATTCCAATGCTGTGTTCTTTTTATTTTTGTAATTGTGACACGTCTGAGAAAAAGCCTGCTTTCCTCCCCACGTCACCAAAAAAGAAGGGGTTCTATTTTAATTCTTCAGTGTATGGCATTCATTCAAGATGGAATGCTATTTCTGGTGAAATGCTTTTGTTAGCTTTAATGAAGTTAGGCTACTCTTAACGTAAAATGATGATATCAGCCATGTGCTAAAGGCCATAGACGTGGCTGTAATTGTATTGGGCAGCAGCAGCCGCTGGCTGTAGGCCAAGCAAAAGGAGTAAGAATGATCAAGTTGTTTTATGAAACATGTGAAGAACTCGGTAGTTATTTAACAAGTCTCTTAATGATAGACTCTCCTTACTTAACAAAATCTTAGTTAGCAGATCACTGTTTTTGTTGGAAGTGAGCATGTTTATATTCATACGTTGTATCTAAAATCCTAAGAAAACAAGAAATGATGGGATGCCATACTTGCCTTAACCTTCTCCAATTGAACCGGGTCTTAACCAAACTCATGCAAGTAGGTTCTTAGGTGTTCCTGTTGGTGGTACTGCTTACTGTCTGTTCATGCTTTGCTTTTCAAGGGGTCCTGGAACACACAAAGAAGGTTTTTCCTGTTACTGAGCTCTGTCAATTAGGTGTATGTTCATCTGTAGAACGGTACCTTAGCCTGAGGATTAATGTAGCTGTTTGCAAGCTTCCATGTTACTAATCATTACCTCTGCTTTGCAGAACACCTTCAAGTCCTGTAGGTTTGCGAGCATAGAACTCCTGGATGTTTTTACCTTTCTGTTAACCTTTGCCAGTAAGCATGAATATTTTTTTGGTAGAATATTCTGTTTGATCAGATTTTTTTTTTTTACTGAAGAATTAAATTCCACAGTTTGATTACTGTATTACGTGTTTGATTTTTGCAGGCTGTAAAATTTCCCAATGTATTGTACAGTTCACCTTTTTCAAAAGGGATTTACTAAATTGCAGGTAGAACAGCTATTGTTCAACCTTTTCCATAACTTCCTGGTGGTTCATTAGTAAGTAGCAGAATCTTCTCAGGAAGGAATGGCCCTCAGAGCTCCACCTGACTGGCCAGCCAAGAAATCTGAAGCAAATGTCTAAGGAAAAGGTTGGGGATGTTGTTCAGTGTGTTATGCTGACAACTGGATTATCAAACTGGTCATCCTTTCATCAGTTTTTGGGTTTTGGTGTTTTTTTTAATGATATTTTTCAGTTAAGTCATTAGATCTTTGAACTTTATTTAAAAAAAAAAAAAAAAGAATGAAATTCTGTTTTGTCTTCAACAGTGCCCTTAAAGATAGTCGTTTCCCCCCAATGACGAGGGATGAGCTGCCACGGCTTTTCTGCTCAGTGTCTCTACTCACTAACTTTGAAGATGTATGTGACTACATGGACTGGGAGGTAAGGACTGTGCATGTCTTGTAAGAAAATGTCTTTGATAACCATGAGCATCTGTAGCAGAACTCTCACTGTTTAAGTCATCTGCATATACTCAGTGTAGCTGCTGTTTGGCACTCTATACAGATTGTTTAGTGTAACGATTCAAGATGCCGTTTTGGTAGAACTGCCATTGCCTTGAAAGCCTGAGCCAAGAAAATGGAGTAGAGTTGATTTCCATTTGTCTTCCTTTGCTTTCAGAGCAAGTGGCCTGCAGAACAACACAAAGCCCTGATACAGTGAGGCCACGTAACTGACAGCTCTTGTTTTCCTGTGCTCCTTATTAGAGCATAATCTGTTTTACTTGACTGGTTCTAGGAAACCTGCATGCATCCTCTCAGAGCAGTAGCATAAAAGCCACAGATTAAGAAGCTTTTAGGGTTGTTTCTGAGAAGGTGTACTGGACAAAGTGTTATTCTGTATTCTTATGTTCTTTCCCAAATTACTTGGTTTTAGATGCTTGCAAAAAAGTAAATTGCTGGACTTAAGATCAACTTCTCATCTCAGCCAGGATGTACTTTCAGTCTATATTTGAGCAGATGGAAATTTTTTTGAAGATGTTGTATATGCTACTGGATGTGTTACAGTGCCAGAGACACCCCGCAAATTAAGAGTGCTTTCATGTAATAATGACTTCCCCACAATGGTGGCTTAGCCCTACTAGATATTTAGGAATTCTTAATAGCAAAAGAGGTTTCCTGGTGGGCCCACACATAACAAAAGTGAATGGAATATTTGTTGTCACAGTGGTAGAAGGCACCACAGAATGGTGGTCTTACGGCTTAAGTCACAACATTCAAATTTGTTTGAAATAATGGAGGATTTTACTTTCAGTGCCCTCTTTGTGTCTTATGTAGAATCCTTGATTCCTCATCAATACTGTTAACAAGCTTAATGCAGAAAAGTAATTCCGTACAGTCGTGATTTACTTTCCAGAATCTCATGATTCTTCTCATTGGAGAGTTCTGGCTTATGGAGGAAGAATGGAAGGGTCAAAAATACAATAGCCTTTGCATTATTCATTTGCCAACTTGTTCTCTCATATTTAATTCAAGGGTTTTAAAACCTTCAGTGAATTCCTGTGAATTCTCCCAAACAAAGCCCTTACCCCCCATCCTAGGAATATTTGGGGCAATTTTAGAGAAATTTTAACCAGTATTCTGGTTTAGAGCTTGTGCAACTGAATATATAAACACTTAAAAGTCAGCCAAATGCATAGGTAGTTAATGTGATGTTGCTGTTGTAAGGCTAACATTCATTTTTTCCAAGTAAATTTGGTTAATTACCTATAGTAGCATTTGTTTCCGTGTCACATAACTTACTTTACCAATGAGGTTTATTTAGCAAACTTGGTGATTTGTTCCTCATTGATAGGTCCCATTTAAGCTCAACAGGTTGTCTATTTTCCTGTGTACAGTAATAAAAATAGTTTGTGTTGATGGGACGTGTTTTGAGAAGACACCACCAAACTGGTGGACTTATGGATGAGTTTTTCTTTTATATTTTCTTTTATTCAGGAAAGGGAGCAAGATCAACAAAGTGTTGTTTTCTGGTAGTTTGCGAATCAAACTGTCAGCATTCTCCTAGCGTGGTGCTTAAAAGTGACTCGGTGACTTTGCTGAGGATTGCCCAGTAAGAGCAGATTGGAAACTGGTATAAGCTTAATAGCTGACAGTGACCCCATGGAAAGGCTTTGTGAAATTCCTTCCACGGTCTGCTTGTTAGTGCTTGCCTTTTAAATATGGCTGAACTGCTCTTGGCTGTAACAGTCTGACACGACTGAGCACCCATCTTCATCTAGTGGCAATAATCACACGCTGTAGTATAGATGAGTTGAGATTTCAGAAGGCTGAGCTGTGGAGGGTTGACACGATGCTTCTCGGGAGGTTGGTTGTATTTTACAGCGATCTGAAATGGCGTTCTTTTAATTTGATACCGACCTTTTTCTGTTCTAATAAAAAGCCTTTCAAAACTGACATGGGCAAAGATGTGCAAAGGAGCGTTATTGGAATTAGATGTATGGGACTTAAGTGCTGAACTTCATTTGCAATGTTATTGCAATTGCAGAAACATACTCTGTTCTCATCTTAGCAATAAGCTAAGTAGATTTTAGCCTCTAACACCATTTCTTTTTACTTTCAGGCTCCTTAAGTTCATAATTACATCATCTGAGTATACAGATTTGAACTTTATATCCATTTTATGAATGTTAAGTAATAAAATACATTAAAATTGGCAGCAAACTCAATATGTTAGCCTCTAATTAATTTTTCCTTTGTAAGGAGTGGTAGTTTCATGCAGAAGGCTTGTGGAGACCATGGCCAAGATTTCTCCCATTTCTTCTCTGTACTTATGTCATATATAAAAATCACAGACCTTGAAAAATAAAGTATTAAAATAACCAAATATGTTAATTGAACAAGTGGTCATTAAGAGCTCTGGAGGTGTCCCTCAGTTGTTTTTTCACTGTCATGTGGTTATGTTAAAAGCAGTTGTCACTGGAAAAATTGTCAGAGTGTTTCTTATTAAATTTTAAGTTGAAAAACAAATGCCATGGAAAATACTGTGTGTGTGATAGCCTTTTAAATGTGAACTCTTCATTTCCTCATATAAAGTGGGGAACTTTGGATTTAAATAAAAATAATATCTCCATATTTTGTGCATGAAAACAAAAATATCAGTTATTAATGTTTTGAATTCCAAAGCAGCTTGTTCTTGTTGTACCTTGAAACTGGCAGTTCTTAAATAATGCCCTGAAAAGGTACCTGGCCTCTTTCTTTTTTGGTAACTCCTGCATAAAATACTCCTACTGCCTTGAGATGAGTAGTTTTGGTTTCTGCAATGGCAGATTGCCATATTGCTCTAGTAGCATGGAAAGGGAAGCTGGAAGCTGAATGCTGTCCTCGTACATGAGCAGGAATTTTGAGGGTTTCAGGATCCAGTTGGCAGTGACTGGTGGCCCAGGAATTTTGTCAGCAGCTGCTTTTGCACCTCAGCTGGTTTTTTTTTTGCAGAGATGGCATTTGTTTTGAACATCTTCTGCAACTGTTTGCAAAATGGCATTAACCAGTGAAAGGTTCTCATGTCGACCTTTATCATATTAGAAATCTCTTGTATCTTTTTTTTTTTAATGTACTAATAAAACTGCCAATTTCTTGCAGGTGGGTGTACATGGCATTAGAATAGAATTCATCAATGAAAAAGGATCAAAACGCACCGCCACCTACTTACCGGAGGTTGCAAAGGAGCAAGGTCATTGTTGAGCTTTATTTCATATGATCTGGTGAAGAATTTAAGCATACCTATAAATCTAAAATGCAATATTTGACCTTGCACTGATGTCAGATGATGGAGCAATATTTAATTGTAAGAAAAGACTCTTCTATAAAATGCCAATTACGTGTCTGTCTCAATCCCCCTGTAGGGACTCAGTAAATTGTAGCTGTTCTGAAGCAAATCCTAACCATAGTGAGGTGTAAGAAAATAAATCATGGAGGGGTGGTACAGTGCTTCTACCTCACTTCACTTATTTGCCAAAAGCTATTAATTTTCATGCAGTTGTTACCCTGTGATGTTAGATATGCAAAAGCTCTGCTAATATGCAGGCTGTCTGGACAATGATTTAAAAAGCTGATTTATTCCCAGTTTTGCAATGGTGCCTTTTCTCATTAGGTATTTGCTTCTAGTGTTTAATTCCTGCTATGAACAGTGGCTTCTGGGTTTTTGGATGGTGGGAAAGGATTATTTTCATACTGGAAGTTCAAAATAAGGTTTCTAAAGTGGTCCTTACAGTAGGACAGACTTCAGTTTGTGGATCAAGAAATTTACATATACAGTAGCTTTTGTTGAACAGCTGTTTGTTGAGCCAAGCTACTCACTGAAGTTTTTCTCTTTGAGGCTTAAAAGTGTGTCTCAGCCTTTTGAATTCTGCATTGCCTCTTCTTCATTTTCCTTCTGGTGCACTAAGTAATAGCAGTGAGACCTTCATTAACAGATAATCTGGTTTTGCAATGGTCGCTTAAAAGCTCAGATGCCTTCCAAGACAATTCTTTCCCTTTTGCTGTCTAAGGTTGGCCAGTTACCAAAGGGTTCTCTTGTTAAGACCTTTGGTGATCACTTAGACATATTTTTTTCAGTATTTTTTTTAATTCAGGAATTGGGGGAGGGCTTAAATTTCTTACTTGTGGTAGACTATGCGTTACAATCTGACTCTCAAAAATTTACTAAAATCATTTTTTTTCTTTTTTTTCTGTCTTAAAAATGCAGTGTGACAAACTTCATTGCATCTTTGGGAAGTAAGATGTCTATTTTAGAAACACTGGGCTTTTTAAAATTGACATGTAGGAGTTTTGAATAGCATGACTTTATTGAGCACAGTAGTGAATCTGAATTTTTGTTGTCACTTTTTTAAACAGACCAGTCTGCTACATATCACAGGTGTTCTGAAATTTAAAATATCACTCTTAACTTTACAGTGATATTTATGGAGAGCACTAATGCCTGAAGTTCTCTCCACCCATTCAGTTAATAAATCTTTTGAATTTTCTTCCATACAGAAACGAAGCTTTCCATGCTGCCAGAGCCATTTAGGATGTGTGATCAGATGTGATTAATGATCTGAACGACTCAGAAAATTGCAATTTTGTTTGTCATTGTCAGTCACCTGGATATAGTGGGGCCAGTATTTCAACCACAAGATAAAAATGCATTGTTGGTAGAGCAAGCTTTATGCCTCGTGAAATGCTGCTCAGCTTCTTTCCCACAGCTATCTCCTGCACAGGAGAATGTCCCATGTTTCATACATAACTTCAGGAGAGCAGTTGTGTTACCAGTATCACTACATTTCGTGCTGTGTTTTTGCAACATCTATTCCTACTGCAGTAATGCTCATGAATTTTTACCACTGTGAAATTCAACAGGATGGGACCACATTCAAACCATAGATTCCTTATTGAGGAAAGGAGGCTACAAAGCTCCGATTACTAATGAATTCAGGAAAACCATAAAGCTAACCAGGTACGCATCCCGGGGATACTCCAGATAAGCCCTGTTGGTTTGGTTTTAGTGTGATGAGTTCATTTCCTGGTAAGTGGTTGTTTCAGATGTTAACAGTAAGCTTTCCTGTATGTATTATTAATATTTTCTTTCTTTTCACAACAGGAATACAGACTTCTGAGAATATCTGTGCCTTGCATTAAATACAATAGGGATTACAGGCACTAAGCAAGGAAGAGAGGGCTGCTAAGTAGCTTGCTACATATATACCAGGGAGTATATTTTGTTTCATAACTGAGAAATCCTTACAGCGTATCAGCTCTGCAGTTTTACAGTTTGCTCATTGGCTGCAGTGGATCTCAAGGGGCAGTTATTAAGGGGGATTACTTGCCATTGTCACGTTGTGTTTGAGCAGTCGGTGCTCTGTGGGGCTGCTGCTCTGGAGGCCATGCAGTGCCCTGAGCTGCTCAGCTCTCCAAGTGGGCGCTGGGGCTTTTCCCTCCTGCAGAGTAGGGGCTTCATCTCCTACCAGGTGCTGGGCATGCAAACTGGGGAGCTGATCTGACAGGTGGTGCAGCAGCTTGACTTCATCAGGAATTCTAGGAAGGAAGACATAAGTCCAGTGCTTTATTTCATGCTCAGACACTGTTGTATAATTGTGTGCCCGTTGTAAAGCTTGTTTAATACAACGTGCTCATGAGGGCTCATTAGCAGGTCAGAGCCAAAATATTATAGAATGGGTCGCAGATGTTCCACCTATAAAACTGTAGTTGTATGGTGAAAGGTGAAAGAACAGGTGTCAATAGGAAGCCCTGTAAAACAACATAATTCTATAACCATGCAGTACAAAGTGACTGCTGAGCTCTAGCTGTTTATTCCATGCTTTGAGAACTGAGGATTTTATGAATCCTGTGTCATAAGGAGGTATTGACTGATAACCCATGAGGTTTCTTTTCTCTCTCTGGGGATAACAAGCACTATTATTAACTCAGCTTATAAATTTGGTAGTTAGAGACCTTTGTCCAACACCATTATTCTTCCTATCTTTTGGTGACTTGTAGGGACTCACAGGGATAGGAGATTCATTTTTAATATGTTGGTTGGGTATGTTACCATCACTTCTGTGTACTTATTTCTTTGGGAATTCTTTCCTCCTTAGTGCAGCTGGATTGGGTGTGAGCTAGACTCGACTCCATGTTTCCATAATTAAAACCCAGTCCTTTCATTTCAGACAAAAATACTGGGCTTCTCATTATTGTTAATGTGCACTTAGAAGACAAAGAGCTGAGATTTTTTTTTCAGTTCCCACTTTTGTCACCTAGATCTAAAATGTTTGCCATTACTTAGCAGTGTTTAGACTTGGCAGAAGACAGAGCATTTCTCAGAAAACTGTGTTTTCACTTTAGAAGAATCTGTCCTTCATTCAGTGTTGTTCTGGGTAAGGAAAAAGACTTCGTCCCACTGACTGTTTGAAATTCTGCTTTCTAGTAGGAACCTGATTACAGGGGAGTTGCTATTGCTAAGGAAAACACGCTGTTCTCAGGGTTACATTTGGGAGGAAGGGTTTATAGAATCCAGCTTAAACTTCCAAATGCAGCGCCCCAATTTTCTTGCTATCTATTTTAAAGAAGAATATATAGAACATATGGTGATAATTTAGGGCACGAGTAGCTGTTGGAGTTCTTAAGTGAGACTTTCTGTTCACCTCAGTGAATAAGGGATGTATTTTTCCAAGACACAAAACTTCTGTATAGCACGTACATTCTTCCAGCTCCATGATTCTGTTTGAAGCAATGGCATACCAGTGCAGAACAAAACAAAAGTGTTCTGTTTAGTGTATTTAGTTCAACATCCCAGCCACAAAATCACAAGCCTAATGAGTAGAATAGACAAAGCGTGTTGTTTAATGTTATGATTTTTTTTTCCATCTGTGATTCTACACAGGCTGCCCTTGGCCTGTTTTGACTCACTTAGAACCACTAGTTGCCAAGCTTATAGTTTAGTTCCATAGTGGTGGGGGAATTAATGCACAGATCAGCTGACTCATCAGGTGCAGGGAGCACAGTGCACCACTCCTATCACTGAGAGAGGAGCTGCAGCTCAGCTGTGACCAGCAGCCATTTAAGTCAGTACATCATTAACCAGCACTGTTGTAGCAAGTAATTGTGGGCACTGTGGTGCACTGAAGCAAGAAGCTGCAAGGATAAGGTGTTCTGCTCTGTTCCTCTGGCAGAGGCAGCAGAAACAATTGTGTTTGCCACCTCAGTTGCTGCAGTTGGTAACTACAGTAGTTTAAATGTCTGTGTTGGGCTGCGAGTGCAAACTGTTGAGGCATGCATTGTGCTTTTTCAGCCCTAAGAGGGAAAACAACAAACAGAGCAACTCCAGAAGAGAAATGTCATAAACAGGTGGCAGTATTTTAAACCACTGTAGCTGGATTCACCACCTCTCATCTGTAAGATCTCTTATGCAAGGGCTCACGAAGTGACATTTGTGGCAATATGGAATAGTGTTATTTTTGTGTAGATTTCACAGTTTTACAGATAAGTGTAAATGTGGCAATATGTTCCTTGTTGTCAAACAGTATCAATGCAAATTTATCTGAAGTATTTTCTGGGGGGTGGGGGCAGTTCTACTTTAAAGCTATATATGGTTTAAAAGGGAAATAACTTTATTTAACGTAGCTGGATTTATTTTAAAAGCAGAATGTGCTAAAAATTACTTTTTAAAAACAGCTTTGGAATCAGTACTGCTTGTTTACAGGGCTTTTCTCTGTTCTCCAAATAATCTCTAGATTATTTGTAGAGAATTGGCTGATAATTTCAGACGCTCAGTCAGTCATCACAGTTCAAATACCTTGAGTAAAGTAGTAGGCAGTGATTTTTAATAGTTTTTTTTTTTTTAATTTAAAATATTTTTCATAAGCACTTATGTTGTGACTTGTATGATTCAAGAACAACCCCCAAAAACATGGTAGTTCTCTCCATGCCCTTGTGCATGCAATCTGAAGTTTGTCTTATTCCTAAGACCAGAAGTGCAGAGCTGTTCTCATCATTAAACGTACACCTAGCACCATATTCTTAGTGCTGCTCATAGCTGCCCAATGAAAGTTCTTGAATTTGCTTTCTCTCTCTTTTCTAGGTACCGTAGTGAGAAGATGACCATGAGCTACACAGAGTACCTTGCCCATCGTCAGCATCATCACTTCCAAAATGGCATTGGGCACCCCCTCCCACCATACAACCATTATTCCTGACACTGAGCCGCATGACCAGTCACTGGACCTCTCTGCAGACCTCTTCCCAGGAGACCCTGCCCCTTCTTGGTCTAGCTATCTCTATTACTGTACCATTTTATGATGATAGTTTCCGTTGCCATTTTGAGGCTTCTCCATAGTTGGTTAAGCTCATTGTGGCAACGGGAGGGAAAACTGCATTATTACAAAGATCCCATACTTTTTTATTGAATCACTGCAGATTTTTTTGCAGCATATATAGCCCTTGGGTTTTTTATGAAATGTTAAATTTCTACTTCATTAACATTGAATTATATCAGTCAAGACTTTCTGTGACTGTGGATGGAAGGAAGAGTTTAAGGATTACAGTTGGGGATTCTTTGCTCAGAAAAAAAAAGGCATTCATGGCTTTTTCATTAATAGCTCTGTCAGGGAATGAAACATATCAGATTCAGGTATTATATTAGACAATGAATTGCATTTTCTTAACTTTCTTAATAGTAGTCTGTGGTACAATATTTCATAGACTTTCTTCTTCCCTTTGAGTTTTTCCATGAGCTCCTCTGCTCATTTGTTCAGGTCTCCTGCCATGGTTGAGCAAGGAGCTCATGGGGAAAAAAAAAACAAAACAAAGGGAAGAAGAAACTCTATGAAATGTGGAAAAAGGACCTGGCCACTTGGGAGGAATATAGGAATGCTGTCAGGACCTGCAGGGATGCAGCGAGGAAGGGTAAGGCCCACTTGGAATTAAATCTGGTGAGGGAGGTCATGGACAGCAAGAATGGGTCTGTTTTGTTGGGTTTTTTTCCCAATATGTCAGTAGCAGAAGGAAGACTAGGGGAAATGTGGGCCTGCTGCTTAATGAGGTGGGTGCCCTGATAACAGGGGATGTTGAGAAGGCGGAGATGCTGAACACCTTCTTTGCTTCGGTCTTTACTGATTAGACTGTCCCTTTGGAACCTCAGACCAAGGAGGTAAGAGAGTCTGGAGAAAAAGACTTTCCCTTGGTCCAGGAGGATCTGGTCAGAGATCATCTAGGCAAACTTGACTCACACACATCCACTGATCCCAGTGGGGTGCACCCACAAATGCTGAGGAAGCTGGCAGAAGTGATTGCCAAACCACACTATCATCTTGGGAAAGGTGCCTGAAGACTGGAGGATAGCCAGTGTCACTCCAGCCTTCAAAAAGGATGAGGAGGAGGAGCTGGAAAACTACAGGTCAGTTGGCATCACCTCTGACCCTGGAAAGGAGATGGAACAGCTTGTTCTGGATGCCATCACCAAACAAGTGGGAAAGAAGGTGGTTATCAGGAGTAGCGTGGTGGTGGATTCACCAAGAGGGAAATCTTGATAGCCTTCTGTGATGTCATCAGCTGGATAGATGAGGGGAGAGCAGTGGATGTTGTGTACCTTGACTTCAGCAAGGCTTTAGACAAGACTCTGCAGCCATTCAACAGGACATGTACAGGTTGGTGAGTTGGGCAGAGAGGAACCTGATGAGCTTCAGCAAGAGCAAGTGCAGGGTCCTGCATCTGGGAAGGAATGACTGCATGCATCAGTAGAGGTTTAGGGGTGTTCTGCAGAGAAGGAGCTGGGTGCTGGCCACAAGCCAGCAGTGTGCCCTTGTGGCTGAGAAGGCCAACTTTATCTTGGGGTGCATTAAAAAGAGCATGGCCAGCAGGTCGAGGGAGATGATCCTCCCCTTCTCCTCTGCACTGGTGAGACCACATCTGGAGCAGTGTGTCCAGTTCTGGGCTCCCCAGTTCAAGAAAAACAGATATCTTCTAGAGAGAGTCCAGAGAAGGGCCACAAAGATGAAGAGGGGCCTGGAGCATCTCCTGTATGAGAAAAGGCTGAGAGACCTGGGGCTGTTCAGTCTGGAGAAGAGAATGCTGAGAGGGGATCTCAGCGCTGTTTATCAGTATCTAAAGTGTAGGAGTCAAATGGATGAGGCCAGCCAGGCTCTTTTCCAGTGGTATGCAGCAACAGGACAGGGGGCAATGGGCAAAAAACTGGAACACAGGAAGTTTCATAACACAAGGAAGAACTTCTTTACTGTGAGAATAATGGAGCACTGGAATAGGCTGCCCAGAAAGGTGGTGGAATCTCGATTTCTGGAGATATTCAAGACCCACTGGGTGCCTTCCTATGTGATCTACTTATCTGCTTCAGCAGGGGATTGAACTCAGTGATGTCCAGAGGCTCCTTCTACTCCCTAGAATTCTGTGTTTCTGTAACAGTTTCTCACCCCTGCAGTAAAGATTTCATGTAGCTGTAAATGTAGGTCGCTCTGAAAGTTATGCTTCCTATTTATTTACATGGAAACTACAACAGATACAAAGAGCACAGTAACACTACTTGATAGAGAAAATCCTCAGCTGCAAAACACTAGTTTTCAACATAGTTATCACCATTAACAGAGACTGCCCCTCTGCTGCCATCTGTCACACAGCAACAAAATGTAACGGAATACTGGGGGTGAGGTTCAACCTCTGCTGCCATCCCACCAACATCTGCCTCTAATTTCATGGGCCAACACCATAAAATAGGAGGCATCACTTTCAGAGCAGTGCTTGTACAATGACCTTCAGCTCAAGCACACAGCCACAATTTGAAGGCTCATATCCAAAATGCTTTTCTGGATATGGAGAAGCAATTAAATGTAATAAGAGGTGAGCAGTGTGCTCAGAATCACGTGGTCTAATTGAAAGGACATGACATAATCCAGTAGGATACCTTTATCTCCTGTTCTGCACTGGAAGCTGAGGGCAGCCCAGCCCTGTCAAGCCTACTCATCATAATGCATTTGTAATGAGACAATGCCTTTGTGATGAGCTCAAATTGGAAGTTACATTTGTTTTTAGAAACAGATTGGTGAGTAGCAGATGTCATATTAGGAAGAAAATGGATTTAGATTTTAGTGCCTTTGACTATGACATGATTATACTTGCATATAAAATTCATAGAAAAAATATAGCAAATGCACCAGACATTCCAGTAATCAACGTGGAGTTCTTTGCTGCTCTGGTGTCAGGTTTTTTGGGATTTTCTAAAGTGAGATATTTTTCGTTTTCTTATTTTAGAAAAGAAAAATCCCTATCTTCTTCTTGCTTGTGCTTTTGAATTTGTTGGGTTTTATCAGGTCATGAATAGTTGGGTAACTTGTTTTAAAAAAAAAAAATTGTGTTGTGAAAGAGCACAGGACAAGTATGCCATAATTTGTACATCTTTTCATCTATTACAGGAATAGCACTTGAGAGCTGTGAGTACTTCATAATAATTCTCATAATTCTCCACAAGGTAGGAGAAAGAAAACTGATGAGGACTTGTAACAACTGTAAAAATAGGATTTAAGTGGTATGTGTGGTATGTTGCAAGCAGAGTATATGCAGGAGCTACCTCCTTGCTCACGTGCCTGCAGAACTCCCACTAATACCCGCTGTAGTTCAGTGCACGTTTTAGGGGACTCCACATCCCATCTACTATGGAAAAGACCTTCCTTACATGGTGAGCCAACTGTGGTAAGCAGGAATTCCAGTTATTTTGAATAATGAATGTTTTAAAAAATACGTATATCGCTCAAATAGATAAATAGAGTTAAATTGTTAAAAGGAACGAGAAGACTAAAAATGTTCAGAAAACAGATATGGATAAATTATCCCTTATGTGAGGTTAGAATGCCACTTTATTTGTACAGAGGTTCTTGTAGAAGGTCTTTTGTATTCCTTCATCCACAGCATCCGATGTCCAAATATTTCCATTTTCAGTTGTGATGCCTTAATTTATAAGCAGAGGGCCTGAAATGTCAGGAGCCAAGAGGTGCCAGGCAGACGCTGCAAAAACTAATAGATGTTTATACAGAGGCTATTTTGGATGATACGTTGTCTTGTTTCTACTTGGGGGAGCGGTTTCAAATGGATTTGTCTTCAAGTGGAAACTGTGAACCGGTGGCTACCTGAGAGGTGTTTTGGTTTTGTTTTTTTTTCCTTGCCCTTATAGGGAAACTGAGCACAAACTGAATCATTCTGCTGCAAAAAACAAACAAAACACAAAGTCATCCAACCCCATCCTTATCTGTCATCTCGTTACAGCACGCTCACACCGCTGGTGAGCTCATCCTTAGAAGTTTTTTAAAAAGATCTATTATATATAAAAATATATATGTATTGAAAGGTGCTAATCAACCTCAAGCAGGTCACGTGACTGGTCATGCGGATCTAAAATCATATCAGATTTTTTAAAAATCTTCGATATATGCAGATGTTATACAGAATTTCTTACCAGTGTAATAATAATATACTGATGAATAAACAATCCTGCGGGTTTTTAAGGACAAGGTCAGCAATACTCCCCACCATGGCCTGGGGGGGAAAAGGATAGTTTTGTCTCCTTTTTGTATACAGCATAATGCACAATGCATTTTTGTCTATCTCTTAGTAGCTGTTGCTTACAAGTATAGTTAAAAGGGTGTTATACAAACTGTAAAGGTGTGCTTTTGACATGACTTAATGCCAGACCCTTCTGGACCAGTTTTGTATCACTAATTAAAAAGCTGTTACAAAGTCTGCGGTCAATCAGGTTGTATGGTATTTTTTTAGAACAGATTGGAATAATCAGTTTATCTACAGTGTTTCTAAGGCACCTACCTCCTCAGCACACGAGTGCTGAGAATACTGCGGATTGTTTCTGTGTCATTGTGGGGTTGTTATACAGAATGTGCAGTTCACTGTGACATGCACTGGGACAGAATAGGTCTGTTTGCCTAAAGCGAATCGACAATTGCTTTCACAAATGCCATTCTCTCATAGCTGTTACCCTTTCAGATATACTGCTGGATTTAGATGTATTAATATTATTTTTTAATGTGGGGGCACTTCATAAGAAGTGATGGTACAACCGAGTAGCTCATTCCACTCTTTTTAAGTTGGAATGCTGATTTTTTGATAAGCACTAATCCATTTGCCTTATTCCTTGAAGGTTTTTTTTAATTATTCTTTTGCTTAACGTTTCTGAAGTCCTCCTTCTGTAAACTTAAGTGAGACAGCAGAACCCCAGACTGATGTGATGCTGTTGCTTAGCCGTGCCTCAAGTGGCCTTCCTTCCGCCTGGACCGCTGTAGCACTGACCTGGCACCATCTCAGCCCCAACGCTGGTCACAGCAGGGGGAGGGGGCACCTGAGAGTTCTGACCTCAGATACAACACTGAGAGAGTCAAATCCATTTGCACACCCTGGCGTTTGTATACGGACCTCTTTACTTGTCTCCAAATGTGCGGGTTTTTAAAATTGTCGTCTGGAGTAGGTTACATCTCTTGTGTGTGTTAGATCGAACCAAAGAAGCCTCCAGCCATGCCCAGATGCTGCTCCTAAAGCCTGCCTTCCAGTCCTTGCAAAAGCCCCGCAGGATTAAATGTGTTAATTTTTTTATTTTTGTACAGTTTCTAACTGATTTTTGCTAGTGATGTTAATTGAATTAAGTTTATTTGGGGAGTCTGAGTACCTCCTCCATTTAAATAAACTGGTGACTTTCCTTTTATGTTAAAAAAAAAAAAAAAAGGGAAAAAAAAAAAGGAAACCCAAAGTGTGCCTCTAAGATTTAAAGGGTTTCTGGTTACATTTATTCTTAAGACCAGCAATGATTCTTTATATAGAAAGATATGTTTTCCTCGTTTTTTATTACTGTTAAATAAAAAATAAAAACCTCTTTCTTTGCTCTGGACCCAGTAATTGCGCTGGTACATAAACGCACTGAGAAAACAAACTTTTGTTTGAAACTTTTGTAACAACTTATGACTGTTTTTGTATATCAAAGTTGATTCTTTTCAAAATATTTGGATCTAGTTTCTAAGTTATTTTAGTGTTTTATATGTTACAAAAAAAAAAAACAAAAAAAAAACCTTTAAATTGCTCACCAGCATCTTGAGTTATCTAATGCAATGGTGACACACAGTGGGCTTGGAGCTGCCTGGAGTAGCTGACAAGGCCTCTCTTTTTCTTCCTTTCTTAGTAACTTGATTGATTACAAATTATATCACAGATTACCTGAACCCCCTTCCTTTATAACTAGATCCTCCTTCCTTCCACATTTAATTGCTATTAGTGTGAAGAAACTGTTGAAATGGGCATTTTAATATAAGTATGGCTTAAAAAAGATAAAATGAGGAAAAAGAAAAAAAAATTATATAGAAGGTTATCTGTGGGTCTGTGAGATATGGCTGTGGAAAGATATTGTAGTAGTTTTAACACTATTGTTATTACCTTTTAAATCATTTACCCAATAAAACAAGGAAAAAGAATCACCATTTCTTTTTATGTTTCTCTGTTTAATTGTGTGGCTTTGTCAGTTGATCGCTTTTTTTAATTTAAGCATTCACAATCAGTGTTGATTTTAAAAGCTGATGCTGCAGTGGGAATGTTTTCCTGGGCTGAGGTCTGTCATTGGCTGTGCATGCTGTGGGAGGCAGCTCACAGCCTGGTTCTGAGGGAGATGCTGAGGGAGTTACAGCAGCTGGTCAGGTCTCGTTTTGTGCTTTTTATAATTAGACTCTAAATGTTGTCCAGTAAATACAGATTTATGTACTGGATTGAGTTCCTTATTCTCTGAAAGGTGAAATCAATCTCAGCTGTTCACAGACACGATGTTGTAACCAGTACAGTGCCTGTGCTGTACAGGAAAGGAGATGAGATCAATGTAGCAAAATGCATTGATAGCACCTGGAATAATTTCACTACTTTTTCACATTACTTTCTAGGTGTGACTTCATAGAATACTGAAGCTTGCTTTGCTGTGAGGGATTTCTCTGGTCTGGCAGAGCTAGCTGATGTGCAGGCTGACACATTGACCGCCTTTCATGGAAAAAATGTCGTGCAGGGTTTGCACTGACTGATGTAGGGCTCCTGTGAAGATGGAAGATTAAGGAAGAAGTCCCTTTCCTGATGCCAGTATTTAGTGCAGTGATAGAAAGGTATGTTCTACAGGGTAAGTGTTGGTTAAAGGGACTTTCTTTCCCCTGTAGAATAACTCCTGCAGCAAAGCAAGGAATTTCCAGTGTTGCCCTGGGATTCAGCTCTGAATATGGAAATGTTTTTGTTTGCCTTTGACTAATTCATTTTCAATAGGCTTCCTGTCTCTAGCTGAAAATACTTTGAAAACAAGAATAGTAGCTTTTAGATGTTGGTAACTCTGAAGGGAAAATCTGCTTTAGTTAAATAGCTTCCATTGATGTTCTTTCACTATTTTACAGACTTGGTATCATTTGTCTGAAATGGGTAGAAGTCTCCCCAGACCTTACAGACCATCAGGATGCAACACTAGTTACAGATTTCTTCCCAAAGCCTCCTGCTCTTTTTACATCAGCCAGGTATGGGGTTACGCAGAATAAAAATCAAACTAACAGAACAGTACCAAACATTAGGTCTATTTCAAAGAGGGGAGGTTGCTTATTATTCCATTCAGCATTATTGCAGTGTACTTACACGTCCTTTTAATTACAGCCAGAAGCTTTTCAGAAATGCAGTAATGATGGCAGTTGTTTGCCATCATCTACATGTGTGAGATTGACCAGAGAGCCCTTGTAAATTATATAGTTTTGAGCTGAAAACTTCTGTACTTTTTCTGCCTTCCTCTACTGAGGTGACAGAGTACAGAACTAAAAAAAACCCACGCTCTACCAAAACTGTGGCAAGAAACCTGAAAGCAGAGTAAACAAAGACATCATAATAGCGTTTCCAGAGCTTTTTTACATGAAGGAGATGAACAGGATATTTGAAGTGACTAGAGGATTTGTGTCTTACAGTGAAGTAAACTCTGGCTTGTATTGCATGCTAAATTACAGGCATAGGTCATACTCAAATGCTTTAAAAGTGCTAGAAACAGTGATAATCAGCAGAAACTGCATCATGCAAGGCAAACTAGATCTAGCAGTACAGACAGCTTAAGATAGGAGAAGCTGTATTCTTATTGATCTCATGGCCATCTATTATCAAGTCTCTGTGAATCTAGCTGTTAATACTGCAAATAGAAGAGGAATGTCAGTTTTTTACCTACTTGAAAAAACAGCAAACACGACAGATGCAGTGCCTGACATGATTAGAATGACAACAAAATTACAGTACCATTAAAATGCATTTATTTGCTTTAATTCAAATGTTTAAGAGCTCTTTGCCCAGTGAGCTGGACATAGGGCACTACAACCAAAAAAATCAGACCAAAATACAAAAACAAGTACACAAGTTATCCCTTATTTGTAAATATTACCTCATAACCAAGTTATAGCACAATAAAAAGTTTACAAAATTTATAACATTCCTACAAATTATTCAGAACTAACAGCATACATGGCAGTTGAGCCTCTCCACAACCAGCCTTGACATTGCCATTCCATTCTGTGCCTGGGTAGCACTACACTGGGTAGCTAATGGGAACTGCAAGCTTCCAAAGACCACTGATGTGCTTCAGTCCAGTCCTTGAGCAGTTCCACTTCCCTGGCACAGGTTGGGTGGCGAGAGCAGTGTGGGTATGTGTCCTGTTCTGCCTGCTGCATCCTCTGCAGCATTGAGATAATGACTCAGTAAATGCAGAAATAATTTAAAAAAAAGTACAAAATTGACCCTGAAGAAAAACATCATTTTAAAAACGGCTTGGTTTTAACTAAGTTACAATAAAGCTGCAAGACAAGTATACAGCAATATCATATTGAGTACAAGATCACAAGAATCAACAGATTTGTTATGTATCTCATCACTAAAAATGAAAACATCAGCACTGATCCACCTGCTCGTAGAAACCTTCCACCTTCTAACAGAAGGGCTGATATATGCCTTCCTGTTAGCTTTTTCTGAACTGTGTTAACCATTAGGAATAATTTAATTCCTAAGTATCCACCTCAAGTTGAACAGTTTAAGGTGACAAGTGCTAGGATGCGACACAATGGCCTCAAGTTGCACCAGGAGAGGTTTACATTGAACATTAGGAAAAATTTCTGCACAAAAAGAGTGGTCAGGCATTGTACTGGGCTGCCCAGGGAAGTGGTGCAGTCCCCATCCTGGAAGTATTTCAGAGATGTGTAGATGTGGCACTGAGGGACATGGTAGGTGAGGTTAATGTTGGACTCGATCTTGAAGGCCTTTTCCAGCCTAAATGATCCTATGGTCCTATGACTTGAAAACAGCAAGAAGAACATCAAAGTCTATGTTGTCATTAGGTATAGATGCACAGGAAACAAATGCCTATGGTTTAGACGCAAGAATTAGAATATAGAAGTAAAATACAGTACTTGAACAGTTGCACATAGCCATTTCTGAAAGGAAAATACTATTAGGTTTTACAAAATGTTACAAAATGTACTGAAATATCAAAACCCTGACTGTGGCTAGAGACAGAAGGATAAATCTATAATGAGGTACTCCAGAGTTTTAAGGTATGCAAATGAATAACTTTTCATGTCTCCCAGCCTCAGCAAGGCAGCATCTGCTGAAGCACAAGTGAGCTTTGCTTATAAGCAGCATTTGCCAAGCCCTAAGATGCTGAACCGAAACCAAAGTACAGGTGTGCATTCAGAGTTTTCATTGATTTATATAATTATGATCAAGTGCTGTTAATTTCACCCTTCAGAAGAAACAAAATGCAGATCTCTGGTGCTTAAACAGAAGGAAGTTAAACAGATACAGTTCATACACTGCCTACAGTGCCTGAAAAGTTATCGCTGCATGTGTACTGGACAGATAGAATCTTGGCACAATAATTTCAATATTCACAGGCTATCACCAGATCTTATGGTGGGTGCAGAAGTTTTAGCAGCTCATTTTTGCACTTTGAAAGGCTACTTAAAGAAGTCTGCATAAACAAACCAACGCAGACAACTTCACTGTAGTTACCAGAGCTTCATTTATGTGTATACCTGGAAGTAATTTAGAGTCATTCAGTGACAGAAAGAGAAATCAGTTTCATTGCTCCTCATTTCTTTTGTCTGAAGTGTCTATGGTACTAAAGAGTATAATATAGAGATCTGATCAAACATCTGCCTGCATCCATATTTTTTCTAAAGTCCAGACCTAAGCACCGCACAGTAACTTTTTCTGGTATTGTAATGTATGAGTTTCTATAACCTGCTGGAACACCTCTCAAATACAAGCTGCCCTAAAAGGAAATAGTCTGCATGGCTGTATCAGCCTCCTGCTCTGTACTGTATCTACTCCTAGTATCTTCATAACTCTTAGTACTGAGAAAAAAGATGTACTGATATTGGAGAGCCAGGACTTACCCTTTCAATCATACATCGCACTGCTTCAACGTAAAACATCACCAGGCTCTGGTCAACAGCTTAAAGCTGTGACATCGATGGCGTCCATAGTGCCACAGGAGAGAATGCCCATCAGCTTTTATGAATAGCAACATAGTTTTACTCTTTAATTTCCAGCATAAATAAGAAAAAAATTACCAGGAATTCATCTAAACGGAATCACTGCTCATATAATAAACCATTTGTGGAAAAGAAAATCTGCCAGGGAACAGATATTCCCGTATGAAGGCTAAGTATTCTATTTTACTTTTCAAACCAATTTCCTTCACATTGAAAAAGCTCTGTCATCTGCATCTTCCAAACAGCTATTCAAAACAACTGAAGAGTAAAGTATGTGAATTTCCATTGATGTTTCAGAAGTTCATTCCTTTTTTGCTTCCCTTCAGCCCTATTCTTCCCCGTATGTGAAGCTTGTGTCTCAAGTGTGCTGACAACTTTCTGTACAGCTACACCATAAACCAAGCTGAAAGACTGTTTAAAAATGGTTTTCAGAATGTGTTGTGGAGAACTGTGACCTAATCTAGGTGGTCCTGCTCCAGCAGGAGGATTGGAGTAGATGATCTTCTGAGGTCAGTTTCAATCACTGACATTCTGTGATCCTGTGGATAAAAGCTCAGCTAGCTTCATTGATGGTGTACAACAAGCAAAAGCAGCCAGCACAGCTTACCATGAAGAAGAGTTTAAGACTCTGCTGCCCTTCTTCCCTTTAGATCCCAGTGGCTCCACTCTCCTGACAGTCATGAAATCCAGATGCTCATAAAATCCTTATTGAGTGTAATAGCCAGTTTACTTCTCCTTGCTGAATTATTACATTCAATTAGACATCTTAGCATCTTAAGCCAAAAGTTCAACATGCACCAAAACCCAAACTGGGGACGCGTGAAAGGAAATAAGAACTTCCCTCAACTATAAGTCAGAAGAACTTGAAAATTTTGCAATTTAAGAGAGACTGCACTGAGCTTACTTAAATGATTCTTGCTTCTGTAGTCTTAATTGACCAGAGGCAGTCAATGGTGATAAATAGGAGCTGTTTCAAACTTGTTTCCCATGCTCCGAAGCATATGATTAGACATAGGACATGCTGTTTGTTTTTTTCAAAGCAGGAAAGATTATTCAAAAAATAATAAAATTAGGTAAATAATAATCTGATGTTTGCAAAATTTGGCAAGATCATCCTACTGTAATGATGTTGCTTCTAAATCAGACTAGATTCAACAGAAAGCATTTTGCCAAGACTTAAGTAAATAAAAACAAATCAAGATAGCCTTGACAGTAACTGCGGGAAGGAAAGAACCACTGTACACATAGCTGTTCATAGGAGCCAAATAGGCATGAATATTTCTGTTCACCTCAGCATCTCTCAGCAACATCATGTATTTCGTCAGCTGCAAATGAAATACTGACTCTTGAACTGAGCATCACATCAGCAGCTAATTAAGTAGTCTTTCACATATGGGTTCAGGCCTTTAATACTAATGCATGTTTTCTTTAGCTCACCCCTCCACAAATACACAGCACATGCCCTGCTTTACTGAAGCAGTAGTGAGATGGCTCAATAAAATTAATTATGTACTAAGACATTCGCAGGATCAGCAATTCACAGTCAACACTATGAGACAGCAATTGTTACTATCAAGTGCTTACCTTTCTCAAACTGAACAATGTAGTAGTTCAGTCTGTGCAACTGGGACTAGCTATACATGCTTCATAGTTGAGGTCAATCTTACATCTCAATTTATAGTAAACAGTACAGGATGTTTACTTTCTAGACATGAAAGAAAGCCAGAAGCTAGTCTGTAAGTTTGAATGTAGCAGAAAGGACTTCTAGTGGGAGATTACTTAAAAACAAAACAAAACAAAAAAAACCATGCAGACATGTGAAAACATTTAGAGAAGTCATTTGTTCCCTCCCCAACTGTTTTCTTATCTTGCAGGAAAAAAAAAGTCAACCACTTATCATTCTTACTTCTCTTCTTGAGGTATAAGCACTGTACCTTAACATCAGAATATATCTTCAGGTGATCCATCGAGAGGAGGTATGACGGCTTTGTTTTTATCTTACAAGTCACAGCTATGACAATGCAATGCAAGTGGCAACTAGCACTTTGTACAACACAATTCCTGCAACCCTGAAATACAGCAGGCTGCGCAACAACAGATCTACAGTTAACTATCTGGAAGAACACAGTAAAGATGTCCGAGCTTTTCCCTACAGTTTCTTCCCTTAGCCAATTTACTATTTATAATTCTCTTTACTTACATCCTTTTCTACTCCAAAACTCACGCTGATGAGAAGATCTAGCCATACTAGTAAACTGGAACATCGCCTTTTCAGTAGAAGCCTGTGCTGATTTCACATTCCTTTTTATACTTGTGTTTTAAAAATCAGTATGAAGAATGTATTAGAGCTTTGGAGACAGGAAATAGTTTCATTTTGTTTCCTCACCAACAGCTCTACTAAGGATCAGGGTAGAATGCAGAGGAGGAATGTTTAAAATGCTACTAAGTGAAAAAAGAGAAATGTTTACAATGTACATTGCAACTCTACTCAGTCTCCAGTCTAAGCTAAGTGACAGAAGCATTTTGTTTAAAGGCAGGTCAGTACTGTTGATTAAATACCTATCATAGCTTACACATAACATGGGCTTTTTTATAATTTCTGTGTGGTGTTTTCTACTCACTCTAAATTATCTCCAAAGCATCAAGATCTGATGGGACCTCACCAGACAGACGTTTATCCTTAGCAGGCCAGAAACCAAAGTATTCGGTTTAAAAAAAACAATAAGGTATTTAAAAGAGTTATTGTTCCCCAATATTTTCAACCAGCTTAAAGAAAATACAGTAAAACTTCACTGCTTTGCACTTATGACTTGGAGATTAAGTGTTACGTTGCTCCACCATGACCATTTTGCAACATTTAAGTACTAAGAGTTAAGCCATGATGATGCATTTCAAGATGTGTTCTGTTCACATGAGTAGAGAATTGGAATTCAGCTTTATTTCCTATCCTGCAATATAAACTGTATTAATGGAAAAATTCTACTTAGTGGAAAATAAGTCAAAATGAGGTAGCTCTGCCACTCTTTTTGCTGGAATGTAGATAGATCCTCACCTAATTGTAAAGGGTAGATTAGCAAGATTTTACTGTAATCTACACAAAATGTATAAAACAGGAACCTCTTCCAGAATAAGGCCACTAATGTTGCCATTGGCAGTAGGCAGTGAAAAACAGCAGTTGAAAGAAAAACCCTCAATTGATAATAGAAGTGTCTGTGAGGCCATAAACTGCGGGGAGAAAAATAATAAAAACATTGTCTTCTCATCCCTCCTCTTGGTTTTCCAGTATGAATATAGGTGTCTCTGCTTCCTGTACGTACTGCTCCGTGGGGAGACATTTCAGTCTATTTTCTTAGCTGGAAATCTAAGCAAGTCCACACTACATTTAAAGATGGGGTCAGCACAGTAAAACAGTAAGATCACAAGCTTCCCATGAGTCATAGTCATGATAGTCTGATGTCCAGATGCCCAAATTCGATACCAGCGCCCATAAAAAGGATCTGAAATGGCTGGGCATAACATGTTGTTCAAATTCACTTCTGTAACCTAGGGAAGGGACAACAAGTTTATAAATTAACATGATTTATACTGCACTGATTCAGACACCAGAAATGATAATTTTAAAATTACCATGATAATCAGAGTTGTTGACCGAAGGATTATCACCTAAACACAAGCAGGGCAGCTTTCAGAAGGAAAGCAGATCTGAATTCAGTTGTGCATTTAATAGATGGATTTATGCAGGTACATGGCTGATTTATGAAACGTTTTGCCAATACTTGTGAGACATAAGATACAAGTGTTCATTAGAACATGCAATTAAAAATCTGCACACAAGTAATCTTATCCACGTCCATCTGGACACCTTGAAAAACTAGTCAGTGCGTTTACTTTCAGTGTACTTGCAAACTATCCATTTATTAACCTCTGTTTACTTACCAGTCCCAGAATTTGCAAGATGCTAAAGTGATATACAAACATAAACCCAGTAGATAAAAGAGCCCACCAGAAATTGGAGAGTGGTTCTGGAGTGTAGATCCCTTGAAAAGAAAGGAATACATTAGTGTTCAGTTAGTATTCAGCTGAATTGCTATGTCCATCAAACACTCATGAATAATCTTCTCTTTTCTCTGTGGATGCTAGGGCATCTGGCTTTAGCTGATAACTTACTGAATACTATTATAATAATTAATATTTGAGAGCTTTCTTTCTTACCTGGAGCATCCAAGATAATTTCCTCCCCTCCTCCCAGTCCAGCATTAAAATGTATACTGTATTACCTCATTAAACATACCTATTCTTCACCAAAAGCAGTGATTTTTGCCTTATTTTTCCTTCTATCCCAGAAGTAACAAATCATTCTAAAATGCAACAATGGTTTTCACAATGAAGTCTTCAAAAATCATGCTACTCATACTTAAACTCCCGCTTCTTATGAAGACTATGAGTTAAGCATGATAAAACTAACCGAGGTAGTGGGAAGGTACAGTAATCATACTAGCCTTTGCTAGCTGGCATATTTGGGAATTACCAGGAAGATTTAAGAGACTTCAGCATAAGCTGTGCATGTCTGCAAGGGATCCAAATTTAACTACACATGCATAGCTTGCTATGTCAGTACTCACTGGACTAAGGCTGGTACAAGCGTGCCTATGTATGGTATTTTACATAGATAAAGGCAAATAACTGCTGTTATCTGCTTTGCCACACCAATGGATGGTGGTGCATGCTGTCTCAGTTTTACAGTCCCCAGAGGACTGCTGTCTCAATCCCTGTTGCCCTGTTAACAATTTTTTTCTGCATAATTTTCTCCCACAGTTTTTGCCCATCATGCCAATCTAGATTATTTCAGGCAGCTATTTCAAAATTAATCTGATTTAAATAGAATTTTCTGCAAGTAGAAGTATTCTTATCAGTATTGGCTACACTCTGTGTTCTAAAACTGTTTACCTATTCATTGGCCACTCAGTATTACAGCTTCTCTGTTGCTTGTCAATAGAAACTAGCAGTTGATTGCATGCTTGAATGACAGAAGCATATATGCCCCCAATATATCACTCATTATTTATTTAACAAGCAATAATGTCAGTGTAATTATCCAAAATACAACTGCACACCACGTTTAAGCAATTGTTACTGGGTGCTGCCACAATAAATAGGAGCAGGGAAGCTACTTTAAAGGCAGAAGACAGCTTATAAGATTTCTTATGAAGTGGGTGGGTGAAGGTCAGAGGAAGCAAAATCCCAAGGTAGAAATGAACTCTATGAGGTGGAGTTCTGCAGTTAAAAGGAGAATAGTCACACAACTCTAATTCTTCGAGTGTGCTTGCTAAGTACGTTAGAAGTGCTGGCATCCTACTTAGTATCTTATCTAGAAACTATAACCAGAAATCTTCACTTAAACAGCATTGAAATTCATTAGACTTCACTGCCTGAAAACATCAGCAAGACAGCAGGAAAGTGATACTACCTTGCATATAGTTTTTCATTGTAGACATCAAGAGAAGAGCAACTAGCCTTGGTGTTGGAGTTCAGGAGACCAGGGCTCTATTTTTGGCTGCACCACCAGTTTTGAGTGAGCTGATCAAGCTATACAGAAACACTCTGTGCTACCTCCCCAGCTGCAGCATAAAGAAAACATAATCTGACATCAAAGTTTTTAGTGTTGTCTCTGTAGTCTTATGGACGTGTTTAACCAAGATGCAAAACAAAATAGGATTTAACTGAAGAACAGGGCTGTTGGAATGCAGGCCATCGTCAAGTCCTGACTGCTTCAGGCTAACCAAAAGTTAACACGTGTTATTGAGGGCTTTATCCATATGCTTCTTCAACCATGACTGGCTTAGGGCATCTAAAACTGCTCTAGAACAGCTCACAGAATTGGCAGTAGTGCTATATATCTATTTGGTTTCATGTGAACTTGCCTGGTTGGCAGTAGCTCATGCTATACAAAAGTTTCTGTAAAGCCTGTGAACAGACACTGCTGAGGTAAACACTCAGGGAAGCTCGAATCCAGACCTTGATACTGAGGACAATCTGTGTGCAAGCAGAGGATAAACACTAAAATAGACATATGAATCCAGCAATGGAACAGGAGTAGTGAGAGAATGCAGTCATTAAAAGCCGCAGTAAATCTCACAAGATGACAAAATATCAGTGGCATAGTTTGGATTTGAACTCAAGCTTCTCACATCCAGCTTCAGTCCAGTCAAGGAATCATGTTTCAGAAGTCACTAAGAGCTGTTCAGGTTCCTCCAGCCAAGAATTTCACACTGCTGCATCCCCTCTTTGTTGCAAAACTTTAAAAAAAAAAAAAACAAACCACACCACTGTTGACTCTCAGCCTATACAGCCTTTCAATCTCAATATATAATAGAAAATTTTCTCCTTGGTAGACTTGGCAATCCTGAGAACAATAGCACTATTTTCAGCAGCAGCATCATTATCTGGACATCAAGGAACAAAAAGGAAGCAATGACCTCCACAGAAAAACATTTCAGAGAGCTCTGGATTCCCAAGTGTATTTTGGGGAACTAATTTTAAATTCATACCTGGGATATTTTCTGTACGTTTCTCACTGGATAAATAATCACTATAGATTTTATTACTCTGCAGTGCTGCTATTCAACAGATGACTGTTTAACAGAGCAGTGTGATCTATTTTCTGAAGCATAGTCTTAACAAAAACACGCAAGCAGGAAAATTGAGACCCAGCTGAGCGGTTGTTTGAGTGGCCTGTGTTGGCTTTGGCAAAAGCTGTTTGCTGCTTACATGGGAAATCAATTTCAGTGTGTAGCAGTGAGGTTCACTGTCTTGCTATCCACTAAGGATCACAGGCAGTTCTTACATGTTAAGCACTTTCAAAAATTTAATCCAGCTGCCAGGCTGGCACTAATCTAATTCTCAGAAATGCTCATGCTCCAGACAGTGGAGACTGTTCCAAATCAGGGTCATCCAAGTAGGCTGTAACATTTGTTCTTGTGCTGAAATGCCACAGCAGCAGATCTTGCAGTTTAGATCAAACTTCAGCAGCACTGATAGGAAGGATTTCACATAGGTTGAAGGGCTTAGGAATCATCATCAGCTTCTGAAACAAGTACTTGTATGACCTTGAACAAGCTCTGCATTTAATTTTGACATATAGAAAATGGAAGCATGGCTTTAATAATCTAAAGATCAACATAAAGACTCAATGTCTTTTATATTAGTTTCCATCTCCCCCAACAAAGTCTCACATTACTTCCAGTGTTATAAGTGCATAGTTAACTTATGAATTACTTATTTCAAGTTTACAGAAAATAGGATTGTAAAAATCTGAGCACAATTTAGTAGAAAGTAAAATAAGATGCAGCACAGAATTACTTCTCTGCTTGAACTGGAGAATTAGCACCTAAATATAGTACAATTTTTCTTTTTTTAATTCAATAGAGTTTTAAAGTCATCCTTTGCTCCTAATGTCTTGCTTTCATTCCCTGTATTTTATAGAGATTTTTCAGCTTAGTACCCTCTAAAGTACAGCTAGGCCTGCTTAATCCAGAACTCAGAAGCCACTGCAGTTTTTTCATTTTAAAGCTTGCAGAAAAGGTGAGGGCGAGCTTGCTTCCATTTTATTTCCCTTAATTAAGGGGTAATTTCCAATAGTGCATATGTTTTGGCCTACTAAGGTAGCCTAAAGCTTCCCTTCCAGTAGAGAAAAGGATATTCTCAAAAGGAAAAGCTAGTTCTCACCTGAAATCTGCTATTTCCCCCTGCCTGTTCCAAATCCATGTGTTGATTTCATATACTGCCTTATGCCAGGAGATTTCTAGTTCTTGACTGTCAGCTATGCTTGTCAAAATCAGCTTGAACAGGGGATTTTGTATTACCTGTTCCCACCACAAACTACTGTTGATAACTATACAGAAGGTTCTTCCTCTTCCTTGTACATGTATGCGTAGTGGTAAAATATTCTCCTAAACTTCTGTCTCTTACATGCAGAGAAAAGACTAACAGATCTTGGGCCCATTCAGAGAATGCCACATCACCACTCTTATTTAGTTTAAGTGTTTCACAATAGAAGCCATAACTGCTCAGTGCAAAAAGCTCAGTGGGTCATGTGGCAGAGGCACTGTCCCCTCCTCTTCCTCTCCAGGCTTCCTTAAATCAAACAAGATTATCCTAAATGACCACTCTACAAGAGATTGCAGTATGAGCCTACAGCCAGAGCAGCACACATCTCTTGCTGCTGAACAGTGCCACAACTGCCCCACTGCTCTGAGCACTCTGCTCCAAGCACAGGAGGCACTGCACCAGCCACTCATATCTAACACAGGGGATCCAGGGGCAGAGCAATGCTGGAATAGGAACGGGAACTGCCAAGGGAAGAGTGGGAGCGTGATCAGATGAGAGCGAACCTTACACAATGCACAACACTTAACAGATCTATAAGTAGTTAGGAGGTACAGTGGAAGAGATGTACCCCTTATTATAAAGTGTTTCACTGAGACTGGCAATAAACTAGATTTCTGACAACCTAACTGTATTTGAATACATAATCAAAGTTTTCCTGGATTGCTAATGTTTACTAGAAACCCTGATCTATAACTTCATTTAAAAGATACGGAAGACTATCATTAAATACAAGAGTCACAAAGTGGCTGAGAAAGGGTACAACAGCTAAAAACATGTTTAAATGTGCTGATATCCCACTCTTGCCAGCAAGTCCTTAGCAGCAAAAAGGAGAGCACAAGTTTGGTTCCCCAGCTGCTTTAATTGTACTTCCTTGTTTACAGCTACAGGAAAATTGATCCTTCCATCTGTGCCTCTTATACATGTTCTACATCTTACAACTGAGCCCAGCATCTCATTAGGTAAAACACACTGCAGTGCCCTTTAGAAAACTGGCTCTACAGAGCAGCTTCTGTCCAACTTCTGAAGCATCACAGCAGCATGCTTTGTTGCAGATGGAAGTTTGTGAGCTTTTACTGACTTTCTCATGTTGCTAGAGAAATTCTTCTCTTCCGTTGCCACCTTTGAAGGCAGCTAGATCAAACAAGATAAAGGCCTCATGACTTCAGTCAGACAAAGTTTCTTTTTTGCTTATGAGAAATACATATAAGCTGAAAAACCTCTCTTTACTCCTAGCAAACAATTTACCTACTGAAGTACTGAGGATCAATCTATCTGTCCATTTGTGCACAGCTGTACAACAAGCAGCTCTTAAAAAGAGATGAAGCCAGATCGACATGACTGTCCGGAGTTCGCCCAAAAGGAGATTTTTTAATTCCTTAACTTACAACCGAGTTAATTTACCATCTCCACAGTGTGGACAACCTCCTTTTGAACTGTGAACTTTGAGAATTTGCATAGCCATTTTAGCAGAGTGAATGCTAGCAACCATCTCCCCCTGCAGGAGAAAGCATCAGAACCATGCAGCAATTAAGTGACACCAACACGAAGGCCTCTGATTAAGCATGTAAGGTCTTCAGGTAGTGTTCATACACCAGGTTGCTCCTTAAAGTAACAAAACCTAAGAACACCAACATCCTTGTCTACTTCATCAAGTTATTAAATCTACCAAACAATAGTGGGGATCTCAGAACTCGAGAAAGAACACAACAATACTGTTAGGGAGTCCCTAGAAATTAACTCTTATTCCAGACCACTGTGGAATAATACCATTTGGTCACAACTTTCAGAAAATAACAATTCCACTTGGAACTCTGAAATCAGGGGCACAACTTATCTTGTAAAATCCCTCAAAAAGCCTGACCAAAGTAGCTTAAGGACTAAGATGGTCAGAAACTGAGATCTGAGGCTACTGAAGTGCAGACTGGAAACTTTTCATTGTGTTAAGAGTATACAGTTGGCAAAACTCAGTCCTCTAAGACAGAACTGAAAGTTTCCAATACTTTGTTCTTAGAAGGTCAGGTTAATTAATGCACTGTTGAAATAGCTTTGACAGCTCATGACATCACATTTGCTCAGTTGCCATCTCCCTAAGCCTTCTACCAGCCATCTGTATCCCAGTAGCAAAAAGCATACTTGAGCATACTTGTATGTTTTAGAAGACCAGCTTAGTTGTAATTAATGAGTTTTCAATGAAGAGGTTGACTCCCTGATCAAAATTTACTGCTCTGTGCTCTGGTTCCATCTTCTTCCCTCCACCCTGACACTTCATTTCTTTCACCTCCCTTTTGCCAGTCCTAGCATTCATCTGATGCCATAGTAATCCAATCCAGGAACTACAAAGCCATCACAGGGCAATGAGGGTCTCACTCCTGAGTACAACAAAAAGCAGCAACCATATCCACAATTCTGCATCCGTCCTATAACTCTAGTTCAGCCTACCTAGCTATTTCAGGAATGCTGTGTCCTGCCAGAGAGTAGTATAATTTTTGGCAGAGTTCACACGCAATATTCATCCAGCAAGAAAGCTGAGAACAGCAGATGTGTTTCATGAAAGAGCTCCCTTGAGTTGGGAATCTTCTGTGCTGACCTATTATATCTGCACTTACCTCTGCTATAAGAGACCCTCTTACTGAAGTTAAGAGACATATGAACCAAATCAGCATTTAGTTTGCCTAGACTGGCATATATACATGTGTATACATAAATATGTGCACTTCTGGAAAGGAAATATGTTAGAAGGTTAAGTAATGAAATTTGTACTCAATCAGTAGAGAGGGAGAAGGAAGAGGAGAGAGATGCCTTAATCCCTGAATAGGAACACATCCTTGAGCCTCAGTGAGTTCACTGAGTGACAATGCTGAGAGAGATGCTCAGAGCTCACCCTTCAGTTTGATGCTAAGCACAGTAATGTCTGCACACTGACAAGAGGGGACATGAAGGTGATACTGGCAGCGCAGTGTGACCTGTCTTCTCCACTGTAAGGAGTAACAGGGAGAAAAGAAAAGGAATTACAGCCCTCCCTTACTGTCACCCAGTTTCCACTCCAAAAGAAAACACTGTAACAGGTAACTGAGTCTGCGTGCACGACTGATGTTTGATTAGCATGCCAACAAAATCTGCATGCCATTCTCTGCCAAATAAGCCTCAGATCACCTCTGCCCAATCCTCCTTAAAGGAATATTAACACTGATTTCCTAACAAAGCAGTCAGTGATATCAGTAGGTTCCTAATAAAAGGAGTGAAGGATGACGCTTTTTCCACATAAAACCCATGTTCAATTTTTCCATTTTTTTTCTACCAATTTCCTTCTCCCAATTAGAACCTACAATTTTCTGTTGGAAATTTCTGTTTAAAATACAAAAATGAAGCTGCATGACAATCAGTGTCAGTGGTGATAAAGCAGTTTGCATGGGATACAGTTAGAACAAAGGATATAATCTACTCAAAGCATCTTTAAGCAAGTGCGAGTAAAATGACAATATTAGCACATGATGGTAGGCTAATTTTCACAACATTCACACACTTAATCTCCTCTGGCATTAGTCATGAGTACTTAAAAATTTTATGGATCTTTTGTTAATGAGGTATTACAGTCAGTGAGGTGGCCAGGAGCTGACCACATTAAGAAACTGAAGAATTATTAGTTACACAGTCTGAGGCAATCGCTATTGAAATAATCAGCCAACAGTTTGCATAGAAACATCAGTGCTATCATTTCAACATTAGATGGCAGCAAATACCTGTACACTGATAACAGGCAAACATTTACAAGAATACATTAGGGTGACAACTGTACAACACAAAGCCCTTCAGACTACAGTATTATCAGGTCCAAACAAGTATCTTAAAATGACACATTATACAGGAACCTCTAGGACTCCAGAAGAACTGAGCTGGTGACACCACATGAGCTTGGTGTGCCATTGCCTACAGTAGCACATGGCTGGTCACACTTCTTTGCCCCTCTCCTTTCTGTAATGATTACAAGTTTGCACAATTTCTACATCTATATCACATCTTAACATTCTGACAAACTGCACTACCAAAGATGGATTAAAATAAAGCATGGCCAGCATATGCCACTAGCAAGAGAGAAAAGAGTGACTTACTGAATTATGGTACTTCACCTTCTACATCACTTTTATTTAGTTTCACTCGTAGGCAGGAAAAAGGTTACAGACCTATACTGTAAATTGTGAGTGATTGCTGGTATAAAGTACAAAACACCATGGTGGAAGAGGCTGACTGAGCTTGCTCTAAGGATTCTTTAAATTGACATCACACTCCTGGTATTGTCATTAAAGGCTACTGAACAGCTGGACCATACATTACAATACCTTATTTCCTGTATGAAACTATTCAGCTCTGATAGAAAATGCAGGTTGAGGCAAATCAACGCTGAGGAAGAGGGAGCATCACACAAGATGCAGACATACTGCATTAACTTCTAGAGAGCAATGATCAGAGTACTGCTGCTCAGTCAATTTGGGATTCCAGATTTTATGAACTATTTTAGTACAACATAATGCAAGATAATAGAATGAATGTCAAGCAAGTTAGCTCATAGCCCTAATGCATCTCACAAGGGACATGCAAGAAAGCAACAGTCTTCAAGACACAGCACACAACTTAGAACATTACAAGATGCCAGAGGCTACTCAAGACAACACCACATAAGGCCAACACATACTAAATACACAAATCTTTGTTTTATGTTATCACAGATGCAACTCCAATATACCACCAGAAACTGTTAGGTAACAGCAAACAGCAAAGAGAGCAAGAATAGACTTTGTGGTAACCATTTAGAACAGCTAGTTCAATGGCTAGAACCAGTTCAACATAGGAAGGGTAAATTGCCAACCTACCTCCTTTTCTCAGCAGATAGATGGGCACAACATAGAGCATCACATGCTGGATGTAATAAATTTCCATTTCAAATGGAAGCTGAGGAATAAGGAAAAATATTTGTAAAGAAAAATATTTGTAAACATATTTCATCATTAACAACTGGAACCGTTTTCCTTATGCCCCACCACAGTGCGTTCTGTTCAGTTCTTTTGTCACCTATGATTGTTACCAAAGCAATGGCAGACATTAATGGTCAGTGCTCAGAATGCACTTAGCTGTACTCATTCCATCTCCCTCACCACAAACACAATGCAGTATTTCTCAATGAGAATTCTCAAAATTGGTCTGAAGCACAGCAAAGGAGGCAAAAGATAAAATCGCTCTTTTCCTCATTAATGTAAATTTCCAGTAACAATGCAAAACCCCAAAGTAATCAAAACAGGAGCTATATTCACAAACATGATGAACTTACAAAGAAAATTTTCCTGTTAGTTTGTGTGAGATAGAATTCCACAGAAATGACTTTTGCTTACAACCATTTTAAAATACACGAAAGTAATCGCTAAGGGATCCTGTGCAAAAAATCAAAAGAACTGCTTGCTTTACAGCAATGTGCATGCATGTGTGGAACAGCCCAGTGTCTCTAACACAACAGATGATATCAGCCAGTCTTTAAGCTGCAGAAGGACACAAATGAACAAGTAATCAGTTAGCAGTAAGTCAAGTTTTCCTCACCTGCTTACAGTTTTTTGGAAAACTACAATTCATCATCTGCATATCCACGTAACTTTTACAGGACAAGTCAGACAGATTGCACTAAAATAATACTCTGCTAAAAATAACTTGAACCACAACTCCCAGTTCAATCTGAGCCCCTTAATCCCAGCCCAACTAATTCTAGCTCTTGATCAGCTAGAAGTGGCGGACTGTTCTGAATGTCATTCCATCTATAATTGCTTTTGCCTATATCTACCTGTTAACAGATTCCAATTAAAAATTCAGAATTCAACCTCTTGTTGCAGCTTCCTTATAAAGCTGAAAAAATATGGCTTACTATTTTATTTCAGATGTGAAAAAATGGACAATACTATGAGTCTGAATTCTCACAGGAGTAAAGCAAAGCCATTAGTTTTGACTCAAATGTAGTGTTAATCTACAAGCTAACATGAAACCAGATGCAAGTACTACTTTCTTGGCTTGTGTTCCAATTTTAAACAAACAATTAACTCGGAAGAAAAAAAAAAAAAATCAATAACAGCCTTCTCTTTTTGTTATTGTTCCAAGACAATGAACTCAGAATATAGAAACAGAAACATTACAAAGATTTCTACATCAACAGAACTGAAGATAGGATCTTCAAATAGTTCAGTTTTCTTCCTATAGGGCAGCTAATAAACAGCAGGTAAGTAATACAGTGAGGTTTGAAATTCTAAAAAAAAAAAGTAATAATAAAAATAAATAAATAAATAAATAAGATTATTTTTAAGATGTTAAAACCATCAGCTGGATTTTTTAGTGTTGGCATCCCTCAGCTGACACTACCACTGTCCTGTTTGCAAACTCCAAGATGTTCTGCCAGCTCCTGGGAGACAGAAAAAAACCTTCCATACAATCTGCTGGGTGATTTTATTCCAAGGGTTCTATACCAAAACATAAAAGTATGTGAGCAGGCAAAATCAAGAGCCTCACAAAAGTTGTGAAGTGTACTGAATTTGAACCTTTTCTTCTGTTGCCCACTGAAAGACACTGAGAGCAAAGAAAGGGGATCAAAACAATTCAGGAAGAAGCTAACAGTTTTCTCACTGGAGGAAAAATCTGTACCCCTACCTGGTGGAGTACACACACCTGAGAAACAACAGCTCCTGATACACACAGCACAGCGTGGGACACTTACTCCTGCCAAGCAGCATTCTCTGTTCAGTCTCTGTGCTTTCAGAAGGGCTCCTGCACTCACTGAGCTGTAAGGGTCAGTTACACAAACACGATGCTCAGGACACTTCTGATAACAGAGTGACGGTTGTTTTTCTGCAGTAGTGTTGACAGTAGTTTTGTTTGTGTGAAACAAAACATTCTTTTTTCCACTATGAAAGATTGTTTGTTCTGAAGATGGGTGCATTTCCTGGTGTAGAACTGAAAGTGCATAGTTTGTACAGCCAAGCACTCACACTGTGCAGTCAGACAACAAACAGAAAAAGAACACACGCAAAAGATGGGCTATGAAGCTGTAACAGCAACTGGCTCACCCAGTTCTAAAGGTCTCATCTGTAAGTTATTTCATCCATAAAACACTCATTTGCAGATAGCAGGTAGGTATCTTGTACCTGTAAGAGAAAACTGAAAGCAAAGAGAAGCAGGAAGGGATCACTTGTTGAGCCAGGACATAAAGATCCTCTTTGTGAAAGAAACCAAGCACTTCAGCAAACGATGGAGACTGAGAAATTCAGAAATCAAAAAACCTCTTACTCACACAATATAAAGTAAATTGAAGAGCTACGTTGGTCCACCTCGTCTTTGACTGTAGGCACTCACAAAGGCCACATGTATCTAAACTTGGGCTTCGGCAATCTCTGAAGCAGGCCCTGGTCCCAGGCCCCAGACTTGTCCTCTCCTTGTTTCTGAGAGGAAAAACCTTGCAGCCACTCTAAACGGTGGGACCTCTCTCATAGCAAACTAATGAAGTACGGATTAAAAAACCCTATTTTTCTATCCATCTGTCCCCACAGAGTGCCAGAAACACTGGCTATTTGCTCCCAAGGTGCACCAGCCTGAAGTCAGTATACTAATTTAAACTGTCAAATTATTTCACATATTTTTGGACTCTTCTCTCTTACCAGCATCATGCTTCCTGCATTTCATCCCATCCCGTCCTTGGAGTTTTAAAGTAACTAATGTTACAAGAAAAAGGACAGATTATCCATTGCTGCTATTAGCTTGCACTCTAGGCTTCCTGACAGTCTCAATGAATACAAAGTACAGGCTACACTGCTACTGAAAGTAAGTAAAATTTTCTCCTTTAAAGATTCTTATTTGCAGAAAAGCAGATCTGCTCCTCGTTCATTCATAGGTTTTGACTTTGATATAAAATCATATACATTTCAAAATATATTGAACAACACTGACATTCATAATTCCTCTAACTTACACACAATATCAAAACACACTCTCTGTAACTAAGTATTCAGACCTCTCATTTTTAACATGTGGTAATGACATTTCTGTTCAAAAATAAATGGTGTCTTGTTCTTCCAGGGAGAACAGCAGCCTATGATGCAGATCCCAAAGTGCCACACTCACTGGGCACATGCTTAAAGGTCCTCTGCTAAGTGCCAAGAACAGCGAGCACTCACTGAGCCTCATCCCAGGGAGAGCTCAGTTACGTTCAGAGCTACTGGGCTAAATAAACACCATTTCACTGCTTGCAAATCTGAGGGAAAGAGAAACCGTATGATGAAGGATTAGAGCACACCTTGTTCTCTCTGAGTAAAAGTCACAGCCACCAACAGCAGTTCTCTGAGCGTGTAACAGGGTAACATAACATAAACCTGGTTCCGTCCTAGGGAAGCAGTGAGCTCCTTCCATTGACTGCACTAAGCTTGGGAAAAAAATAATCTTAAGACAGTGCAGACTTAAGCCCAAAAGACAGATATTCAGATGAGAGTTTCCCTCCAGAAAGTGCAGCACAAGACCCATTTAAACTAGCTTAAACCCACTGTGACAAGGCAGCTGCTTTTCAGTGGACTATGAGGTTGCTATTTGTTGTTTTCTGAAAGCAGTAGTCCTCCTTCTGTTAATTATTTATACTTCAACTGTGTATGTGTAACAACAGCTCAAGTACTGTACTGTAGAAGAGCTCTCATTCCATCTTCCCCTATAAAGACAGCAGAGCATGACAGAAAAAAGGAATTGAAGGATTTCAACTCCCAGTTCCAAGCTTTTTCTATAGCACAACCAGCACAATCTAGTCATTCTGTATCAGTCGCTTTCTTAAACATCAGCAGTACATCAGATTTGTAATCTGTGACAATTAGTTTCCTAAATGTGATTGGTAATCCAGAAATTAAAACCACAAACAGGTTTTTTATTTCACTAGCAAAGCAGATCATAGTATAGATCAATCAGAGAAGAGGAATACAAAGGCATACTAAATATAAAACTCACGGGGCAAACAGCTACTAGGCCTGGGCAATGAGTGATGGTTTCCCCTCAGCATATTGTGACAGCAAATGCCTTACTTGGCAGAGGAGAAATAGTGCCAGAGAAGATTAGAACAGCCAAAAACAGACGTGAAGACTTCAAACAAACAACCAAAAAGCCAACAAAAATACACAATGACAAAGAAAAAGAAGGGGCATTTTGAAAAGAGCTTTATCAGGATTCATTTCTCCAGCAGACATTCCAACAGGCAAACAGCCGAGAAGCTGCCCAGTGCTCCAACCACTGCTACACCACCTGGGCATTTTTGCAGCTCAGGCACCTCCAGCTTACCTGACACAGAGCAGAAAAGCAACCTCCATTTTGTGAAGAGAGGGAAAGAGTGGAAAGAAAGAAATGTTATGATGAAATAAAAGGAATACCAGGGCTGCAAAAACTCTGCAGAGAAGGATTCACGTGACATATGAAAGTCTGAAACATCTTCCCTTAGTTTTACTGCAACTATTTCTTCCCATTGTATTTAGGGGTAGTGTTTCAGTTGCCTGTCACACATCCTCCTCTTTGCACATTATAAAAATACATACTCTCAAAAAAAAGTTTCAAGTAGGTATGTCAGTCAGCATCCATCCTCACAGCTGTTCTACACAGCTCAGTCAGTACAGAGAATGAGAGAGGGTTTTGAGTATTTGACCAGAATTACATATGAAGTTTACTGTGTTTCATAAGACATCACTGTCTTGTGGTCAGTCCATTTTTATCATACAGATCAGCTCCCATTAATGACACTGTGGGCACAATCAGGCATTTATAGAGTTAAGTGTAACAAAGTTTTAGGTAATAAATAATACCAATTTCAGAAATAGCATGTTTCCAGTTCCTCTAGATATAATATTTGGACTACTTCACACCACCAGCAGGAGTTAGATTTTTATTATTAAGTAAAGGTGTGATTGTAGGTTGCACTTACACGTATCATTTTGATGCACATAGTAGAGGTAACTGCTGAAAGATGCAGAAATATGGGCTTTAGGACCTACTGGCAATCAAAACAGTTTCCCCACAGACTCCAGCATGCAACTGTCCTGTTATTTTTCCTTGTGCCAGACAGATTAGGCCAGTTTAGCCATAATGCCACATGCTACCATAACTTACCCCATTTTCTGTTCAGACAAAGACATCTCAGGCAAAGTGTTTAGTGCAGAGAATTATTTATCACCTTAACGTGCAATAGAAATGCAGTAGACAAAGATCAGAGGTACTGCACACTGTGTACTGCTTAGAGTATGATTCTGTTCCTAAAACAGATCTAGAATGCGTAGCTCTCAAGCCAAATAGCTCTAATAATAGAATTCAGCAGCTTCTGGAAACATTAAAACTGCACCATCCCAGCTGCATCCCAGCAAGTTCAACATCTCTGGGACTTGTCCTAATTTTTACTTTATCTATATCAAGAGTTTCAGGACATCAACTGGAATAAATAACCCAACAACATATACTTTAAAACCAGCAGGAGGCTTTCTTTAAAATTTGATCACTGCAATACACAAGTTCAAACAATTATAGTTACTCTCAAGGCTTGGTTTATGGGGTAGTTAGATGAGTTTATTCACACAGCTATGTTATTAGAACACCCCATGTAACTTAAATTGAATAAAAGAAGTTACTTGCTTCTGTATTTCTTATATGCTTCCAGGGTCCCACCTGGCACCCTAACAATACGATTTTTTTAACATCTTCTCTAACGTCTTAACATCTTTAGCTAAAATCTGATTGAGTTTTTCAGATGCAAGACTTCAGCATTTAAGGCTAGATCTCAAACCCTTATCACAGCTTCTCACTATATGAATTGTGTATGCTTGCCTCACAACTTGTGAAGCCAGTTGGGTAGATCATTATCTCACATACCAGAAGACTGATGGACTCCAGATGACTCGTTCTTACCATGATATTTTGTAGCATAAATAGGCCTATCATTCAAGTTCCTTAAATAACACAATTCCACCCCTCCCCGCCAAAGTGGTGCCCTTATAGTACTGAAAATATAAAGTTGATTAGCTGAGCAACCTGAGCACAGCATTCATCTTATGGTCACCTATAACTCCATGCTTCTATTATGTACAAATCCACTAGTTCCTAAACATCCATCCATCACCACCAAGGTGACAATTAACTTTGCATTCCCTATCAATAAGCTGCAAAAGGCAGAAGATATTTACAAAAAAAAAAAAAAAAACAACAACCATACTTCTAATATTCTCTCCTGCTCCTCACTAATGATTCACAAGTTGCTGGTGTGCACACACCTACTGCTGAACTTGCTAAGTTAGCAAGCTAATTTAGCCAAGGGACTACAGGTCACCAGTAAGCATCTGCTGCCTGTAAGATAACCAAGAGACAATCCACTTGGAAGAGAGGATAAGCAGAATGTCAGCTGAAGACAACGAAAACTATGCATCTCCTAAGCTTAAAACATCTTACATGATGAAAGGCAACAGCAACCCATCTTAGTGCTCAGTGAAAGATACCAGTTTGGTTTTACAGGTTCACAAACTGATGGGACAACACTCTTCTGCTTTTCAGTGCACACAGGCCTCAGAACTCTTGCTCATCTGTCCCTAGACAGCATCTCCTTCCCCACTTCTACAGCAATAGCTGTGTCAGGTGCCCAATCTTTCATGCTCTTAGTTTGTGCCAGACACAATATATTACAACTGTTTACAGACAATTAAGAACACAACATCTTTGTACTGAAATGTACATACAAAAATATACATCTTAAAATATCATTCTAGTGATATCAAAAAAAGATAAGGTGTATTCTTGGCCGAGTCAAACATCTCTTCATTTAGATACTATAAAACAACACGGACAGAATTAATGTGGTTTTTGTTTGTTTGTTTTTTAACTCCTAAGCTGTAAGATAAATTTCTTGCTTTTGTTACAATGTCAGTGTAAATGACAATGACATTTACAGAGCAGAATGTGTATCTATCATGACAGAATTTGGGCCGAAGCAGCCATGCTTTAAAACATCACCCGAATTATTTTATGCCTGAAGAAACACTGAAAAGAGACAAGCCTGGCAAGCAGCTGTTAAGCCAAAAATAACCTAAGCTGTATTTATTCCAAAAATACTTGCTCTTGGACATTATCCTTTGCCTCCTTTATCCCTAATTAAGGACAGATTTTTATAAGTAGTCCATATTTTTCCTGTTTAATCTCCACCTCTCTAATTTAAATGAGATCTTCAAAATAGCACAGAAAACACAAGTTAATAATTAAATATAATTAATAATTATATAAAATAATTAAATATAAATATTTAAAATAATTAAATATAAAATAATTATAAAAAAATAACTAAATATAATTTAAAAATTTTATCCTGAGAAGGTAATATAGAAAAGTATTTTGTTAGGCTAAACTTAAGAACTAGATAGTTTGAAATACAAATTGAGATTTGTGCTCCCACTTATCAGGGAAAATCAGTACAGTATATATATTTTTAAATGTCCCTTCAGCAGGAATTAGTTTTATTAAAACACACTGACAAACTGCACATAAGCAGCTATATGTATGTGTATATATATGTACATAGTCACACACACACATATACACACATGCATGAATATATATTTTTCCCCATTTGTAATGCTTTATATATTTTTCCATCTATATAGAAAAGCATATAAGCAGTTAGCAGAGAAAGAAGGATAAAATAAAACTTGAATAAACTCTATGGTTATTTTACTACTAAAATCTGAATAGCGATTCAAATTTCTGTGAATGCATTTGTTTCATGCAGTGAGGAAAGTCCTTACTGATATGTAAAAGCCTACAGATGGATAATCCTCTCTCCAGTAATTAAACTGCATCTCAGGGGAATTTTTTCTTATCTTAAATAGAAGAAGAAGGAAAGCATACACAAGTCCAAAGTCAGACTTAGTTTTCAAGTCTCCTAGATACCAGTGTGGACAGTCACCATGGTGTATCATAAAATTCAATACAGATGCTGATTTATAGACTTAATCCTATTAAGACTGTCTAGATTTGTAAATGGACAATCACTAATGAGATTTGTAACAGAGTCTGAAGTCCCTAACAATATCATTAACTCACATGCTATGTAAATATAGATATGAATACATTATCCAGACACTGTAAACATGTAAGCAGATGAATTTAAGTGAACTCTATTTTAAAACAGACATTTAAATGATTGCAGAAAAGATTTTTGCAAATTAGACAAGGCCCTCCAGACTAGCACATCCAAGTCCCTCATATGCTGGGGGCCCCACAGCTGAATGCAATACTCCAGGTGGGGTCTCATAACAGTAGAGTAGAGGTGAGGATCACCTCATTTGACCTGACAGCTACACTTCTGATACTGCTCAGAACATGGATGACTCTCTGGGCAGCAAGTGCACATAAGCAGCTCATATTCAGTTTTACTTCCACCACGTATTTCTCTGCAGGGCTCTGCAGTATTTCTCAATCCATTTGTTGCCCATCCCGTATTTGTGCTTGAGATTGCCTGACCCAGGTGCAGGACCTTTCATTTGGTCCTGTGGAACTTCACATTGTTCACATGGGCCCACCTCTTAAGTCTGTCCAGGTCCCTCTGGATGGCATCCCTTCCTTCCAGCGTGTCAGTAGCACCATGCAGTTTGGTGTCATGTGCAAGCTTGCTGAGAATGATCTCAATTCCACTGTCTACATAGTCAACATGGATGTTAAATAGTGCCAGTACCAATACTAACCCCTGAGGAACACCATGTTTTACACATCTCCATCTGGAGATCAAGCTGTTGACTGCAACTTTTTGATTGCAGCTATCCAGACAACTCTTCATCCACTGAGTGGTTCATCCATCAAATCCATGTCTCTCCAGCTTAGAAGCAAGGATGTTATGCAGGACAGTTACCATATGCCATACCCAAATCCAGGTAGATAACATCAGTTGCTCTTTTCTTATCCACCAACGCTGTAACCTCATCATAGAGCAAATCTGTCTGGCACTATTTGCCTTTATTGAAACTATGTTGGCTGTCACCAGTAACCTCTTTGTTTTCCATGCTCTTCAGCAGTTTCCAAGAGGATCTACTCCACAGCCTTACCTTGCCAGACATGGAGGTGAGACTGACCAGGTCTGTTGTATCCTGAGTATTCCTTTTTACCCGTTTTAAAATAGGAGTTAGACTTCTCCCTTTCCAGTCACCAAGAACTTCAGACTGCTACAACTTGTGAAGTATGACGAAGAGTTGCCTTAGCAACTTCATCCACCAGTTCCTTCAGAACCCCCAGATACATCAAATTCAGTCCCATGGACTTGTGCACATGCCACACCCTATTCTATGAAGTTTATTTCAAAGCCTCTTATGTTTTACCTCTGTTCAGAGGCCAGACCTGACCTGTCAAAGTACTTTCTTCTACACCTAGAATAAACCAGTGTTAACTCTCCACACTGATTTATAAACATAATCACAAAAATTCCAGGATTGGAATTTTGGCTCCATCACAGTGATCTGTACCAGCAATCTACAGGCTGGTAAAATGAACTACGTACAGTAAAATGAACCAAAGGTCAAATAACCTTGCAGATAAAAACTTTTAGAAATAAATTAGAGAGGAAAAGGAAAGATACAGTACACTCACCAGGCGTGTATTCACAACAGGAAACAGCAATGCCAGGAGAGCCCCATTCAGCATATGCATCTGCAACCTTAGAAAAGAGGAAGTAGTGTTTTCAGACTGGAAATGAAATGAAGTATTTTCACTTTGTACACAATATCTCTTCAATAAAAAGCAGTCAGTGATTTGAGAAAACTTGAATAAAGCCGCAGTTAAATGCAATAACTAGGACAAAGCCTCTCTTTAAATACACTTTTAAATACTTTCCTAAGTAGGACTGCTTTCTGTAATGAGCTTTGGATTCCTAGAAGGCCTAGGCTGCCCATTTGTGTTAATCCAGATCATGATACAGGTTGTTAAATGCTTGGAATTTTGCTGTTTATTTGTCTTTCAGAGCTTGAAAGAGTACATTTGATAAAGTGTTACTCCTGCACATCTCTACATGTGTACAACTTCAAAAGTAGTGCAAACTCCAAATTGTTCTTCAAACATCGTTTATATGTCAGTGTCAGAAAACAAAAAGACCAGTTCTGAAAAGCAGCAAGTATGGTTGCAAAGCAGTGGCCACAAGTCTTTTGGAAGTGAGTCAGAAATCCAGGATTACCCAGACACCAGGCATATTTTGCACTCTCTGAGATGAAGAGATACTATTACAGTATCCCTGCATTTGGCCTGCTCCCTGCTCCAGTAAGGAACAGCAGGAAGAAGTTACAGCCACAGAGCAGCCCTTCCAGAGCACTTTCATAAGGCAGAGCCCCAGATGCATTTTTCCAATCATTGCATGAACTAAGACAAGAAAGAGCAGAGTGAATTGCCATAGGGGTGACCGCAGCTCTTCTTGATTATTTTTCTGTCTGGGAAACACCGTGACCCTCCCCACACTCCAACTAGTTGCTCCCCATGACTCCTTATTGGGCTCTTCCTGCACACTGGAAATGTTGTTGTTTCAAAAACTGGTAACAATATTTTCTAAAATACTGCTTATCTTTGAAAAAAATACTCAAAATCAGCAAGGATTTGCTTTAGTTAATTTTCTTTTTAAAACTAGACACATATTGCGTTTGTACAATGTTCATTGAAGACCAAATGCGAATTTTTGGTGAGGATAATCAAAAGGTACGAGGCACATGAAATTAAATAAGCAAGCACACATTAGTCTGTGGAAGGAGGAGTGTAGTTTCAGCAGTTACTGAGCTAAGGTATATTGCTAGAGAGACAAAAACCATCAGAACAAGAGAGCCACGGCTATGTGTGGCTGTGCAGTCAGTTTAAGCCATTACCTTTCTCAAGGTATCATTTTCCAGTCCGACCTACTGAATATATATCTTAATATTTTATTACTTAAAGCTGTGATTAATTTCTAAAATACAGTATGCAAAGTAGACAGAAATATAGTAAACAGGAGGCATTACCTGAAGAGAATCATTGCAGCCCGACATGGAGGACAAGCAAGAAGAAAAATCTGAAATATCAGAAACAAATTTAAATTAATGATATGATTCTTAGACTCCATTATCAATATCTTTCCTTCCAAGCTCTGGATGCAACAACCCATTTCTAACCAGAAGAACTGTCTAGAAAGGTCCCTTAGTACTTCCCACAGTAAGGCTACCACAGTATCTGTTCTACAGATAAGCTTAGTGGTCATCTCTAAACATGCCCACTGCATTATTCAGGAGAATATTTTCAAAAGTTCTGCAAGCATGTTGCCAATTATTAGGCACCCATTTCACACGTCCAAGAATAACACAATACAACTGGAGAATATTATATTTGTCTTTCTTTGCAGATCACACTCCTACCATAAATAGGATCTGATTTCAATCATTATGTAGTAAAATACTGTTGCAACTATGCCCCCTATAAATTCAGAAGATAATCACCATCCTTTGATACTGCTATTTAATACCTCTCACAGTAAGTTAAAGCACTTCGTATCAGCAAGTTCTTAGATATGAAGAGATGACAGAAGTGCTCAGTGATAATTATGTTGTATGCTACTGAAAATAAGAATTCCTACACAGTTTGGTCTCCTCTCCGAAAAAAAAATATTTCAGCAAATAAAGGAAATTGTGATCTTTATTGCTGTTGCCAAAATAAATTCATAATAGATCAATTCTCTGCCAACATACCAAATTATCATTAAACCACTGCAAAGTGAGAACATTTGGAGAATGTGTCTGTTTTCTGGGCAGCTCACCAGACTTTCTCTCAAGCATTGCAGGGCATATCTGTGCAGATACAGACACATTCAACTACTGCCAAGCACATACCTGCTGCAGCAACTGCAGAAAAGCCAATGCCCAGGTGATACTATTGATCCCCTGTTTCTAAGCAGAGCTTTACTGTCATTACCAAACAATGAAAAGTAAAAGAATTTTGAATATTTTATTTCCAGTTCAACTTAATACACAGGCATTTAGTTTTCAATTTATCAGTTTTTCACGTTTTCAGTTCAGCTATCCTGTGACTTCCTTAAGCTCCTAAGTCTGACAGATAGATGTTTTTTTTTTTTTTTTTGAAGCATAGTTCATTCTCACCAATATGGAAAATATTCTGCTCTTTCAGTATAAAATGCATTTTCTTATTTCTTTCATCTTAAAAAAAAATTAAAAGCAGGTTCCTCTTTTCTCTGTATGCACGAAATAAGAGAAACAGGAGTGTGTCTTAATCACATCACTCACTTCCTTTCCTTACACAGTGCTCCAAATACCAAGCCTGCATGCTGCCTACTGGCTGAGAATCACCACGGTGGATCAACAACAACTAATATTAAGGATTATGGCACTGTTATATAGGTTGAGATGAACATCTATAAAAGTACTTCACTACCATGAAGACCAACAAAGACGAGTAACAGAAGCACAGCTACTTATTTCCAGATCAGCTCCGCTGTAAGAAACAGTTTTGAGAACTAATGAGGCAAAACAAGCATTTAATATTTCCAAGTATGCAACTCCCTTGGTTGGGGGGGAATCTTTCAGAAAAGATGTTTGAGAGCAACAGAACGTTTATGTTCAAGTTTCACAGTAACAGAAGAGATCTTCAAATGTTTCAGCACTAGCAAATGAACACCAAGCACTTTCTCTCTAAACATGTAAGTACCTTCCCATGATAAATCAACCTCATAACCTGTTAAAAGGGGTGCTTCACAAGAAACATTTATATTTGATTTTCAAAGAAACGTGTCACCAAGTAGATTTAAACATCATTAAAAGCATTTCTATGAGTTCAGCTCACAGAGTAACTAATAGCCTGAAAATAATCAAGTTCCCAGCAGACAAGCTGGCATGCTCTAACACAAGTGTTCACATCTTCATCCCAAAATCATACTACATTTCTCTGTCATACTGGAAATAAAATCCTTTGCCTTGTGGGAAAAAAAAAAAAACAGCAGTGTTTTGAACACTGAACAACATCATATCAAATTAGTGCATAGCTGTGAAGAATTCCCAGCCTCTGCTTCCCTGCTGGCACTCCCAAGGATTTACACACACAGCCCATCACAGATGTTGCCCCCACCTCCTCACTGGGGGAAAAACAAGCTGTAAGATACCCCTCCTTTGTGTTACATGTCATATAATAAATTCAGGGCACAGTTCTGACTGCTCCTGTCCACACTGACCTCTCTCTAAAAAAAAAGCACAGAGATGACAAGCATGACCAAAAGACACTTCAACCTGTTAAAAAAATGGACAAACAAACATACCCTGTAGGATATAAGTAAGAGAAAGAGAGGGTACAAAATCACAAGTAGCCTTGAAGAAACAGGCCAGTCCTAGGAGGGGATAATACTGTGAATAAGGACATTCAAGTCTTTTCCACCAGCACAGGACCAGAAGATTACCCAGGAATAAGCCGTAAAGAAATTCACAATGCTGTTATTGGCAAACTGAGGTTTACTTCAACTTTAAGGACCATGATGAAAGTAGAAGTCAAAGTCAGAGCAATCTGTAACTGCTCTGCCATAAATACCATTGTCCATCCCAATGGGAAATATTTCTAGCATGAGAAACTGCCTGGCCAGCACCCCCTGCACAAGCCCAAGTACAAAGGTCACACCACAACACATGACAGATCAGCAGGGCTGTTACCATTTGGAGACTGTAATGTACAGGACTGCTCTGCTTAACTGTTCCTTTACCACGACAAAATCAGAAAGGACAGACCTCATTACTAACTCAGAGATGGGTCGCAAATCCATCCATTCCATGTTCCCCTTCTTTGAACCCTACCCTAAAAGAAAAAGTTCTAAGTAATATCCATGGGATTAGGACAGACAGGAAAGTAGAATGAAAAGGATGGTGCTTTTCTCCTGTAGCAGTACATTTTAAATTCTAAAACACACATACATACATTGTGAACTTGTCATTAGGTACTCCTTGGAGTTGCCAAGAAATACCTTGTTTAAATTCCATGAATTTCAGAGAACACTTTTTTCTTCAATGTGATTGTATTAATTGTTTGTGTTGTAAAAGGCCTACTCTGAAGACTGTCAGATGATAACTTTACTTGAGTGTACTGAGAAAGCTTCTTTAACTACTAGCATGATCATGTGAAAGACCACCGATCTGGAAGATGCCTTTTTTCTACCTTCAGACAAAGGAACGTTGGCCTACAGCAAAACGTTTCTTCATCTGGTTATACATAAACTGTTCTCTTCTTAAAGAGTGAATACAATAAAGTCCATTAGGACTCACTCCACCGTTAAGTGAGGTCAGCGGAGAGACAGAAACATGCAGAACAAACATTATCTTGTCTGATCAAAACTAACTGAAGAGACAAAAAGCAATTCAAAAGGTAGCAGTGGAAGAAAAGAACAAGTCACACCACTGGCAGCCAATGACAGGACACGAGGGAATGGAACAAATCTTCACCAAGGAGGTCCAGACAGGAAAATGGGAAAGATTTCTTTACCATGAAAGTGGTAAAACACTGGGAGAGGCTTCCAAGAAGCAGCGATGCCCCACGCATGCCAGCATTCAAGTGGCATTTGGTCAGCATCCTCAGTAACAGGCTTAACTTCTGGTTAGCCCTCTTATGTGCATTAAGGTACTCCCCGCAGCTGAAGATATTTAAAGACATTTTAAAAGTTAAAGTATCTTTTAAAGGTAAGGCTAAGTATTTTTCAGTGTGAAAAAAAAAATCATCCCCTCCCCCTCCAGAGGTGAAACATAAGACAAGGTACATTCAAGCAGCTGGATAATTTACGAGCAGGCTTTAAACCCTAGAATTCATTTTTTAAAGTAAGTTCAAAGCAATCATTTAATCATTTATCAGAAAGCAGCAGTAAAACTCCATCATACAACTTCCATTCAGTGTCCAGGTTCAGTTTAGACACTGTTTGTGCATAAATTATCAATTAAGCACAAAACAGCAGTACCATTTAAAAGCCATCTGTTTGCCTTCTAAAAGAAGTAAGTTCAAAAGAAAAGCAAAGACTAACAGTGGTTTAGTGTCACTCTTCGAGATCTCCCTCCCTGAGGAGGGAAAGATGATCAAAAGATCTTTCATTCTCTTTGCTAAACATCAGCAATTGGAATTTGCTTAATATTTTAGCATAAAAGTACAGCTCTCTTCCTGCAGCTTAATTGGTCCTGTAGAATTTTTTATTCAGCATTAAGAACACTCATAACTCAAAGCAACGTTACTGGCAGATAATTCAGTAATAACACAGTAAGAGTTGCTCCTGTGGTCCGTAGAGCAGACTGTGAGAAATACGAGCACGTCAGTCCTTCCTTCCAGCCACTGAGATAACAGAAGCACACTGAACTATTTCCATCCTCTACTCTACAATCTAATGTTTCCTAAATTAACTGTGGTCCCTTGGACATCCCTGGTTAGCCTTCCCTTCCATAGCTCTAGCTTCGTTACTGACTGAATCTGTACTCACCTTCTTTTACTGTCCAAGGTGAAAGATTTGTAGATTTCTCATGTTTTAGGATTAATTATTAACATAGGACTAAGCTACTTCTGTGGTGTGCAGTAGAATTAGTTATATTAGTTAGGATATCTTAGAAACTGGGATTTCAGAGGGAAGGTGCCACTGAGCTTATTTTTCTTCCTTGTTCTCTAATCAACATTTGCACCATCCATTGCAGGCAGTGGCTGACTGACTTCCTCCTCCATTCCTAGCCTACCACAATTAGCAAAACCTGCAAAATAAACTTATTTAGGGGGGAAAAGAACAAAAATTCTTAACAAAACTATTTCCTACTGAATTTAGATTAATTTCTATTTATACCTTTTACTGACACTGAGAGACCTTGCAAGGTTTCCCAGTAAGATATTCATGTGGATATTGGTCTGTCTTCACTTCTGTTACGTTCTCCCCTGAGCATAACATTCTATATCCACTTCCCACAGTAGCAAAATTGATGTAATAGAGGCCTGCTCTACTCTTCCTCAAGTCTCCAGTGCCAGAAGGACATCTGGAACATTTCCCTGTGACATACAATTACG